GGCTGTCCTGGGAAGTCTCTCAGTTTGTCTGTGACTCCAGTGTAGAAGGGAAACTGACCACTTATGAGCTGACTTTGGTGAAGGCCTCAGGTCTTCTTTTCTCAGAAGTGAATTGGGTATTCCCACGATGTCTGGCTTTTCTCTCCAGGCCTCATCTGTCACCTCCTGTTGCATCAGTTGCTGTCAGAGTCATCTGGTGGCACTTGGAAACTATTTCATTTATAGGGGCCACAGCTTGTCTGCCAAATACCTTGTACTGTGAGATAATTTCTTAGTGTGAAGGTGACTCCTTGCTCTGTTGAAAGGCCAGGTATCATAGACCCATTATGCCCCTTGATGGTGGCTCTCTGTTAACTTCCAGGGCATGGAGCATGGGTGGGAGGTGTTCCAGCCCTGCACTGCGAGAAGGACACCAAGGCCCAGCGTGACTGGGGTGTGAGCAGTGTCCTAGTTAGGTGAGCTCAGGGTATGCTACCTCTGAAGGGAAAGGCCGATAGCCTCAGACATGGTATTCTAGCCAGTGGACTCAGCACTAGCTTCCTGTTGGCACTGAAACCTGAATGCTCACTCTTGCTTTCTTCTGTGGAAACCTGGAACCCACAGACGGAGCTTGAGTGAGCTCTGGCTCTCCATTCTCCCTGTAACTCCCATACTGCATGGGCTTATGTGAAAGCTTTGCTGCGCACACTGGGAAGAGGCTTCATGCTGATGTAGGTGTCTGTGATGCGCTTGGTCAAGTTCTGCTAGCGCCTCGGGTTCTCAACTGCTTGCCTTGTGCTCTCCCCAGGCCCTCCTGTGGCAGTTGGTAAAGAAGGATCCTTGGCCTTACTGTCCTGGACTGTGCTTTAAGCATATGTCTTTCCAAAGTTTTGTGCTTTTCTTGACATAGTGTCTTAGTGCATTTGAGCTGCTGTGACAAAATACCCTAGAGCAAGTACTTGGTAAACAGAAATTTACTGCTTACAGTTTGGAGGCTGGAAGTCCCAGATGAAGGTGCCAGCATATTTGTTGTCTGATGAGGGTCCCTTCCTCATAGCTATTGTGTCCTCATGTGGAGAAGGGGTCAGAGGGCTCCCTCAAGGTCTCATGTAACATACTCTTCCCACTCTTGATGGTGGAGCCTCATGACCTGATCGCCTGCTGGAGTTCCTGTCCCACCGGCACCTAAGGGCTTAGATTTCCATATATGAATTTTGGAGGGATGTGGAACATCATTTCTATACGCCTCTCGCACTTAGATTCTTCATGCATAGCTTTGTGGTTGTTGTGAGGGGCATTTCCATCATACTTTCTGTACATATACCCTGAGGCAGTATATTTGTTGCAGAGCAGAGCCAGGTGACACCTGAGGGTGTGCACCCCAGGAACACTGGGCATGTGAGAGGGCACTGCCTGGGTACAGAGTGGGTCCCTCGGTCTTCTAGGGCGGGCTGAGCCCACAAGTCTGTACTTTCTTCCTGAGCAGTTGCAGGTGCTCTGGCCATGGGCCAGCTGCTGCTCCTGCAGGCCAGTGAGGGCCTCTGGGGTAGTTCTTCCTTGTCTATGGGAACCAAGAGCCCAGAGGTCTGTGGAGCTAAATGTCTGTACATCATTTCCTCCTGTACCAAAAAAATTCAATGTGAGCAAGTTGGGCTGCATTTTTGAGGACAGTATGATGGCTGTTGGTATGAGAGGCAGGTCCCGAAGCTACGCCTGCTTCTGGAAGCTTGTGTCAGAGGCTCAGGCTCTGAGTATGGCCCCATATTCAGTCCCACAGTGTGGTAAGGTGGCTCAGTGGTTTTGGGGGCTCAGGTGCATTCTGGAGACCAGTCTTATGTGCTCAGGGCGTGTTCAGCTCATTGGAGGAGTCAGTGTTTTCCATGCTTCCCTCTTGGGACAGTACTGTTCTGTTGCCCATGCTACTGCACACCATCAGCCCTGAATGTTTCTTACTATCCAGTGTGAAATGGGAAGGTCAAGCAAGTCCTGGGGTTTGCACCAGACATGCCGCAGGAACTCACACAATTGGCGGATGCCCAGTACGATGACTTGGTTTAAATTAAGCAGCTCAGTGGTTTTCAGGAGACATAAATGTGGAATGTTTCTGCCTCTTCAGCAAGTGTCAGGACCCTTACTCGCCTGGGCTCACAGGCTCTACAGACCCTGCAGTGGTAATGCAGGGCTCTGGTGTTAAATCTGTCCTCTCACCTGAAGGCTGCTGTTCCTTAGGCAGCCAGTGTTAAACAAATGACATGCTGTCTAGAGAGAAGAGTATTTAAATTACACTTCCGAACTCTGGTTGCCAAAAGGAAGCCCTCTGGGGTATAATATATATATTTGACATGCATTTGCAGTGTGTAATTGGAACCATGAGAAAGGGTTTTGTTCAAAGCTATTGAACAGTTTCCTTATTTTAAACCTGTTGAATCTAGAAAGGGCTGTTTCTAGATTTTTCTGTGAAAGTGACTTTATATAAAAGTTTTGGGCAAAAAGTTTTTTGTTCCGGTGGGGCTGTCACCTCCTACCCTCATAGTGCCTGTGTGGCCACTGAGGTTCAGTTGTCCTTGTCTTCTGGGTCCCTGAATGTCAGAGCTGGGAGCCTAGGGCCTCCTTTTCACATGGCAGAGGCTGGACACAACCCAGGAAATCAGATGCATCAGGGCCCTGTTCAGGAGGGGCAGAAGCAGGCTGACTTGTCTTCTCATGCCAGGTTGTAGCTCTCACTAAGTTAGGATGAATGAGAGGTAGCAGGCCGTTTCCTTGTTTCTTGGTACAGAATCTGTCATTCTCCTTTTTCCCCTGAGCTGTGCAAATCTGTTCATTTCCAGAGATCCACAGGCAGAGCTTCTGGCCCTTGCTTGGCCAGCCTCTGCCTGTTAGTGAGACTTTGCAGGTTGACTGCAGCCATCTGCTCACCTGCACTGTGTGTTGGCTCTTTGTGCTTGCTGTGGGTTTATGTAGGGTCCTCAGGTTTGTCAGAAGAATGGCAGGATGGAGACTCTGAAGTCTGTGCTGTGAGCCAGGGTAGAAGGAGGCTGGTTGGGTCTTTGCAATATCAGTAGACAAGGCAGACTGTGGGGTCTCAGTGGGCACTGTGCTGTTCTTCTTTGACTTAGCACTGAGGAAATATACAGGAGGATGTGGGAAGCCAGCATCTTTGTGACATTGGAAAGACAGGCAGCTCCCCAGGACACAGCAGGAGAATAGGCAAGGTGTGTGTGTGCACCTGCAGCCTGTGGTTCATGAAGCCTCTCATGAACTGACCTTCCTTGAGACAGAGGCATAGGCTGAGTGGGTGAACCCTTTAGGTTACCTCCCATGCAGTTAGCTCTCTCTGCAGTGAGCCAGTTGGGCCTGAGAGGTCTGAGTGTTAGGATGGTGCTGTCAGCTCTCCCTACAAGTCTGAATGCTGGGACGTTGCTGTCAGTGGATGAAGACCTGTCATCTGAGTGCTTGTGGCTGGTTTGTGTCACTAGCCAGTGAAAAGGGTGCTTTTAAAAACCATCTCTCTTTAAGTTGGGGCAGAAATCTGGGCTCTCTGGCCAGGATTGGGCTCTAGCTCTCCAGTGTGCAGGGTATGAGATGTCTACCTGGTGGGGCTGCCCCCAGTGTACCAAGCAGTTTTCTTGTGTGGAGCTGAGTGAGGGGAGGTGTGAAGTGGATCTCGTGAGTGCTGACACTGCACTCATAGTTGTCTGCTTGGAAATTGATTTTGTCCTGCGGAGTGACAAATTGACACTTGGAGAGAGCATCTGGATCCCCTGAGGCCAGAGGCTTGCTGGCTGTCCTTGCCCAGAGAATCTGGGCCGCTGTACCCACATGAGCCCTAGGGAGTCTGGCTGGCAGCGACACCACACTCATGGATGCTTCCCTTCCATAGGTGCCACAGCCAATTATCCTGATGTTGTTTGGCCCCAGTGGGCAGCCCTATTAGCACAGAAGTGGATTTGAGCCATGCTAGCAAATTGGGAGTGATTCCAGATCAACCGGGAGTGTTCTAGCTAGAACAGCTGAGGATATTTTAAGCATTGCAGGTTTGGTTTAGTTTAAGTTGAGATAATTGTAGGGGTAGCTACCTAATCTACAGCAGTGCTCTTGTTAGGTTTTCATTTCAACATGGGTTCCAGGGGCCTGGTGGTAAGCTCCATGTTCAAAAGAGGAACATTAGGCACTTAGAAAAGCGGTGGACAGACTTTCAGATAACTGGGCTCAGTTTCTGGTCTGTAGGCTCACGGCAGCCTACCACTCTGGAGAGTTGGCCTGATGGTGCCAGCTCCTCCTTGGGTGGGGAGAGGACATAGCAGGGGGCAGGGTTAGCTCTGGGATGTGTTCTGCGAGGCTTGTGGGCAGCTGGGTAGAGTCCTGTGGCTCTTGAGAAGGAGATAGTGGGAGCCCTGCACCGTGCCTGAGGATGGCATGGCTGCCAGCAAGAGCAGCTGCTTGGGGAGATGGGACAGGCTCCATCTTGGGTGTCCAGGAACTGCAGTGTGTCCCAAGTGGGGTGTCCTATTGCTGCTGTGTTCAGGAAATGAGACTTGGCAGAGGAGTGTCCCTGACTGGGGTCTTTAACAGTATGTAGGGTGACCTTGGAAGGTGAGGGGACCGACACACCCTGTTGTTCCCTCAAGATCCTTGTGTGCAGACCCCTTGCCCGATTGTCCTGTGTGCACACCTGCCATGGGGCGTGTCACCTGATGGAAGTGGATATTACCAATATCACAGTAACTGTGAGTTTTAATTTCAGAGTAAGTTCATTTTGTGTAGTTTTAGGTAAGTTTATAAATAAACATTTTACAATCTTATTAAAGCACTATGTGTTTTTAAAACTATATGGAATCCATATCCATTTTTTCGTTGCTATTTATATAGAATAGACGATTCCTAGGAGCAAAAAGGCAGAGGCACATTTGAATATAACATTCACAATCTTGCAGTTGTTTCTGTGATTTTTTTCACTAGTCTATTTCTGCATGTGATTTTTTAGTGGATAATTGTGTGCTGACAGTTGAACATGCAAACGAATGGTGTCCCGAGTGTTCACACTGATTGCTGCTGCCCAGTCTGCAGCAGGTAACAGGGCCGTGCTGCTGGGTGGGTAAGTGTGGAGTGTGGAGTGGAGTGTCCTGAGAGCAACGTCTGCACAGTTTTGGTGGGTGGACCATTCTGGAAGCAGGCTGGCTCTTCTCATCCTGCTCTTGGAGTGGCCCTGCACGTCCCATCTCCTCCCCCACTGGCTTTTGAGCTACACCCTCTGATCTCTGTATCAGCTTTGATCTCTCACCCTGAGGAGTCCTGGGTGACCTGCACAGGCCTCACTCCATTTTGTGTGCCCACGAGCCCTGTGGCTGTCGTCTGCAGCTGGCACTTGGCCAGCAAGGGCAGCCCTTGAATCCACATTGTGCTCCACATTGTGCTGGAGCCTGTTGCTGTATTGTGGGACATGTCGCTGAGGACACTGCTGGAGCTGTGCCAACATCAGTACGCTTGATGGCCTCTTTGGTGCTACTGCCTATTGTCTGTCAAAAGCCTCCGATGTGGTGTCTTAGGGTCACATGCTGACTGGTGGCAGTGATTCCACTGAGGTGGCTTCTGTACTTGAAGCAGGAAACGCCATCTCCAGCTCCTCCATACACTTTTGTTCTTAATTTTTATGTCACTGGTGTGAGCTGTTTAGTGTTCTTTGAACTTTTAGCATGGTTTTTTGGAAAATTCCATTTGGTAGGACTGTTTAAAAATCAGTACTCAGCCAGGTGCCGGTGGCTCACACTTGTAATCCTAGCTACACAGGAGGCAGAGATCAGGAGGATTGTGGTTCAAAGCCAGTTTGGGCAAATAGTTTGTGAGACACTATCTTGAAAAACCCCTTCACAAAAAAGGGCTGGTGGAGTGGCTGAAGGTGTAGGCCCTGAGTTCAAGCCCCAGTGCTGAAAAAAAAAAAAATCCGTATCTTATGTTTGAATTGCAGAATAAAAATTTTTCTTAAGCTTTTTTTTCCTGTTACATTTTCTTATAGTCACCTTAAGAGGCTTTTAAAAATTAGTAACTGGTTCACTTATACAACTAGTTATATTCCCTGAAATATTTTAATAAGTGTAATATATATTATGTTTGAAGTGATGTACATGTCTATAATAAACCAGCCCTTCCAAAGTACTAGAAATATATGAACCTAATAAACTGAACAGATAAATACAATAAACTTTTAAATGTTCCCTGACTCTCACCACATCTTAAATTCTCCCTCCTGCATCACCAAGCACATGTGTGACATCAGTTACTTGGCTGTTTCCATTGGAATCAGAAGAGGGATCCATGTGTACTCCCCCCTTGGCTGCTACAGACACTTCAGGTGATAAATTGTAGGTGCTTCTGAGTCATCACAGGGCCACTGAGGGCTGACTCTGAGGACTGACGCCAAGGGCTCAGTGTTAGCCCTCAGTGTCAGCTCAGTTCTTTGAGACAGGGTCTTCCTAACTTTTTGCTTGAGCTGGCCTTGAACTATGAACCTCCTGTTTGCACCTGTGAAGTACCTGGGATTATAGGTGTGAGCCACCACGCCTGGCAAGTACTGTCATTTCTTTGTGTGATTTTTTTTTTGGGAACTTATATATTTATGTATATTTGGGTTTGAACTCAGGACTTTATGCTGCTGGGCAGGCACTCTACTGCTTGAGCCACACCTCCAACCCCTTGGGGAACTCTTAAAATACTTTTCTACCTGCTATGAGTTGGTGAATATTTTTTTTTTCTCTTCAGGTGTTTGTTTTCTGACCAGGTTGTAACTCTCATGGAACCACTCACACTGTCCCTCTGTCTGTGCTCCTGCCATGTAGCCTCCTGTCAGCTGCTCACTATCTTTGTCTCCTGCCAGTGGTCACTGTGATCCTGAAGGCATTGATCTACGATGAGAAGCGGGGTGCCTGCAGTGTGGGTGCCAATGTGAGGGATGCTGCCTGCTACGTGTGCTGGGCCTTTGCACGTGCCTACGAGCCGCAGGAGCTGAAACCCTTTGTGACCACCATTTCCAGGTAAAGTTTGTTAGTTGTCCCCATGGCACTGCACGTGGCATATCTCCTGTGAGAGGTGCACAGAACATTTGTGTTTTGCTCTATGACGTGAAGCAGCCCCAGAACAGCATCCTCCTGTGGGCAGGTGCTTCCAGCCAGGTGTCCAGAGGGACAATCGTGGAGGGTTGGGCTGTGGCTGGCAAGTCCTCGGGTGAGGCACTTGGCACCTTAAAGCCATGTGGTGGAAATATGGGGCAGGAGTGGTGCAGGGGCAGCCCAGAGAGTCGTGAAAACTCAGTGTCTGCTGTTGACAAGGCTGGTCTCTGTTTGGCCCTGACTTCCTGATTTTTGTAGACTGTGCACTCACTGACAGCATTCCCATATGCACTTCACCTGCATCCAGCAACATGAAATGTACACAGCTCTGTGAGGAAGGGAAGTGTCCTGGGGAAAGAAGCCCAACCAGCAGGTTGCTATGGTCACCAGAGCTACCTCCTTTGTCCAGCAGTGGGGCGGGGGAGGCTCCTGACTGGGCTCAGTGGGTCCCAGAGCCCCACAGTGGCTGGTGCCATTGCTTTCCTGCCTGACTTGGTTTGCTTGGAAAGATGCAAAATATCTGTGTCCTTGATGCAGCAGCCTCCTAGGTTGACTCTGTACTGGTCTGATACTCTGCTTGGGCCAAGGTTGAAGATGCCAGTGCTTGTTTGCTTTTGCTTCCTAAGGAGCGCAGGGATAGGTGCGAGTGGCTCTGTGTGTGTGTCAATTGCAGTGTGAGTATCTTCACAGGGCCTCTTGGATTTAGTTGCTGTGTGAGCGAGCACCTGTGGGAGGCTGTGGCCTGTCTGCTGGCAGCACACTGTGGAACCGTGCTGGCAGCTCTGGGGGAAACCAGTGTGGACTCTTGAGGGCTCCATGACTGGAGCTCTCCTCTGTTCTCACCCAGGTCACCTCACCAAGCACTTAGCAGGGTCCAAAAAGGGAAGCACCTGTTTGCTTCCTGGAAGGCCATGGTTGGGCTGTATCTCCTGATCTGGTGAAGCCAACAGATGGAGGATCCTGTCCTGCCCCATTCTGGGAGATAAGGTGCTTCTGAGGAAGTCATAAACATGGAGATGTCTGTCTCCATCTGTCTTGTCTGCCTCTTGGAGGGGAGTGGAGCTGCCAAGCACTGGTGTTGGCAGATAGTTGTAGAGAATGGGTATCGTGGCCACCCATTCTTGATGTGGCCAAGAGCAGGTGTGATAGCACCTCTGTTCATTGCTATGCCTGGTGGTTTCTCCAGCTATGCTGCTGATTGGGGGCTTGGCTTCAGTTGGCCTTTATGAGTGTCAATGGGGAGTGGGAGAGGGCCAGGATGCCCAGGAGCCTCTGCTGAGCTCCTGTCCCTGTCCATAGCTTGCAGTCCTTCTGTCCTGCTCCTTTCCTACTTAGATGGGAACTATTTGTTGTTCACATGGCTTTTGGCAAGGTTTTTTCTGCTGCTTTCTTGTCCTGTTCCTCAGCTTCCTGGAAGCCAGTCCTATAAATGGAGTGGAAATATTAACATTTTCCCTTGTTGTTCAAGTTGTTCCCAGTGCAGTGAAACTCCTTCAGATTGACAGCTTCTCACTCAGCTCTGCAGCTTCTTTGTGCAGAGGGTGGGTATTGCCACTGCTTGGCTTCTCTGAGGATGGAGAGGGGACCGAATGCTGAGGGAGCCTGCCAAGTGGTCAACAAGTGCAGAGCTAGGTCTGGCAGCAGAAACAGTGCTGACCAGCTTGGAGGCTGTGGAGGACCCTTGACTCAGCTATGAGACTGCTTCCCACTTCAAAGTGAAAACAATCCTTACAGATTCCTTTCAGTCTAACATTTTTTCTGAGCCATAAACTCCCAGGAGCTCTGCCTCTCCTTTCGCTCGGGATTGTCTGTGGTCCAGCAAGGCTGCAAGGAGGATACAGATTGGTGGGGGGATGGAGCGTGGCCCTGCTTGCCAGGAGAGCATGCAGTCAGGACATGCCCTTGCTAGTGACCCTGGGATCTCAAAGCCAGCCTGCCACCTCTAAAGCAGAGAGGTGCAGGCAGAACCATCCCAAGCAACAATGTCCCTATGACTGAAGAATTGGTGTGGTAACTGTGCTGCAGTTAAGAGTCACCACCTCTGGTTCTTCCCTGGGAGCTTAACTGTTTCTCGTTTTCAGAACTTACATCAACACTGATCGCCATACAGATTTTATAAAGGAAAACATTAGTCTTTGAAGAAAGTGGCTGATAGATGTGGGGCCTGGTCTTGGTGTGATGTGGGTCTGAAGTCTGGTGATGGCTTGGTGCCCTGGCTCCAGGCACAGCAGGTCTTGGGCTCTGGCCTATGGGCGACTGTGTCTTCTTAGTCCTTAGCTTCTCTCATGTGCTAGAGCTGAGCATAGAATGGAGTTTCTATTGCTGGCAAGGGACCATGACACATTTTATCCCAGGGAGACCCCCCTTGTTACACAGGAAATAAAAGACAGCTGTCCCCTTGGAGCTGGCCCTGTGTAGGCTCCTGACCAAAAAGGTTCGCTTTCTGTGGTGACTGTAGTGTGTAGGTTGGTGTGGACTGGCCGTGGTCTACCTAGAGCTCATATGAACTGAGAGTGTCCAGTGGCGGGGGAGTGGAGGCTTGGTAGTATGGTCTGGAGAGTGCAGGATCTTCTGGGAGCTTGTGGGTGGGCTTGGAAGTGACCTGGACACCGACAGGGCGGCCCAAGTGCCTACGGTTTTGAGAACAACTTAAGTCTCTATAACCCTAACTTCCATGCCAGGGAGTAATTGGCATGTGACCGTGTCTAGCTCAGTTTGTGGTAATATACCTGAGTCTGTTGCTCAGGGGAGGTCCGATTTAACTGATCTCCTGGCCAAGCCTGAGGGATTGTTGGGGAGTTCACATCTGCTCTGTGGAAGCCACAGTGGGTCCTCATTTCAACCTCTTGATCTTCCCTACCTAAGCCAGGAGTCAGCAATCAGCACTGGCTGCCGAGGAGTTTCTGCTGAGAAGGCCCCTGGCCCCTCTGCCCACGCCCGCCCCTATGGGCAATAGTACCCTTTGGAGCTGTGCAGGTTTCTAGCTGGTTTGACAGGTTCTGAGGGAACCTGTGCCTGGCCCTTCCCTGCCCATCTGACTCCCGCCTGGCGGGGGATGGCGGGCAGGTGAGTCAGGTGCGCCAGTGAGTGGGGGAGCCCAGGCTCCGCACCTCCCAGTATCGGTTGGGTGTGCCCAGCCCTGCTCCCTGAGCCCTGTGTGGTGACCCTGCTTTAATGACCGGTTTAAGGCTCTTAATCCTTGATAAAATTGTATCTGTACTTTCACAAACTGCTAGTGGGTCCTGTAAGAATGGATAGTTTAGGTCAAGATGTAGCTCCCTAAGTAAAGCAGAAATGTCCCAGAGAAAGAGCCAGGGGGGTGGCTAGAGAAGCCCAAGTTCTCAGGACCAGTGCAGGGGCAGTGACTCAACTTTTCCTGGTTATTTCCTGATGTTTTGCTGAAAAAACTGGACTGATTGTCTTTACCTCTTGGTGTGAATTCTTTTGCCCCTGTTGTTTTAGGAATGTGAAAAGGAGCTTCTTAGGCTGGTTTTGTCTCTTTTGAAGTGTGTTCACTGCTTTTGAAAGCCCATCCTTCTCAGCCCTGCCAGGCAGTTGGAGAGTGAATGGCTATGGCACAGTGTAGGTGTAGGAGTAACAGATGTGTAAGATGAAAATGCAGTGGGATGGTGGCCATGATCTAGAACATTCCCTCTGACCAGGCATCAAAAGCCAGTTTGCAGTAAGGAAAAGAAAGAAAACCGCGCAATGCTGCCAGCTCTGCCTGTCACCTTCCTGTGATTTCCTCACCTGAAACTCTTCTGTAAACCAAGTGCCCGCCCCAGTGTGGCCCGCCCGTGCCAGGGGCAGCTCCTGACTCTCGCCTCCACTGCGCAAACCAAACCGGCTGGGCAGCGTGGGCTGCCTGCGAGGGGCCTGGGATTGGCTCAGCAAGATCTCTTCCTCTAGGGCAAGATTGTCCTGAAAAATCAGGAAGTGGCAAGTGTTGCTCAAAGCTATGTCTTGTTCTCGCTCAGCCTCCGGAATGGCCCTGCTTCCAGAGGGAGAGCCTTTTTCAGGAAAAGGCCAGCCTGCCTACAAGGCCCTGATCCTCTCTGGCTCAAGCTGACCTAAAAGCCTTTTAAAGTTTGGTTCTGTTGATGGCCTAGGGAAATTTAGCCAAAGGCAGGCCTTATGTTTTAATGTGATTTGTAACTTGCAAAAATATGGACAGATAATGAATTATTCTGATATTTAAAAAATGTTTAATTCAGAATGATGGACTATTTCTACTTGGGTAACAGTAGTGTATTTTGCTTTCTAGTGCTACATAATATCATAGAAATGAGGAAAACTGAGTTCGGGGGTGACCTTTGCTCTTGCTGGACCTGCAGAAAGGAGGTGCCTGAGGGCAGGTTGAGGCATGTTTTTCCCCCTTTACTCTGAGGAGAAAGAAGATCTCTGTCTGATGCAGCCGTGTCTGTATTGGGAAACCCTGGTGAAAGCAAGCAGGTGGAGACACCTGCAGTGCCTCTTGCTCAGATGGCGGCTGCCACTACTGGTTCACAGTTCGTGCTCCTCATGCCGTCTGAGGGCAAGAAGGGAGTTGTGAATCACACATAGGTTCACTCGCTAAGGATGATGGAGGCCTGTGGGGCATGGGTGCTCGGGGAGCAATGGGTTAGGAAGGTGCTTTCCTATATTTGACCAATACCATTAAACCTGTTTGCATTTGAAACATACTAGTATTTCTAGATAAGCCAGTTTTGTTCTCAAAGTTGTTTTTAAAAATTTAGTCCAAATTGAAAGCCCAAATAAAAACCCTGTTTCGTTCATAAGTACACACATACTTGTTGACCTGACTTAGAAGCCTACAGTTAGTTAAAAGCAATGTTTTTCAAGCATCATTACATATCTCCTAGTATGTTCAGTGAAGTTTTAATAAAATCTATGGACAAAGCAGTGACTGCTTAAAGATGTTTGCTTATTCAGGAGAGGCTAGCTTGTTTAATGTGTCTGAGGCATCTCTGCCCCTGGCTGGGCTGGGTCATGCTGTGGCCCGCTGGCCCACACTTCTGCTCAGTGACAGCCTTGTGTTGGGCTCTGGTGCCCAAAGTCTGGGTCACCACGGCCTATGTTTCACACCACTCTGTCACTTGCCCCTCATGGAGGTCCGTGTTGAGGGAAAGGCTGCCTGGATCTCACCACCCTGAGGTGAGTGACTGCCTTTCCTGTGGGTGGGACTTGTGAGAGCACGCAGACCTGTCAGACTGATTGTGCAATGGATGGCCAGCAGTAAGAACTGAAGTGAGTGGGCTGGACCTCCTACAGCCATCCCCCCCCCCGGACAGTCCCCTTGAGAGGGTTTGCCACTTGGGACCCCTAGGGTTAGTGCTGAGCATAAGAGAGATGTCTGCAAGTCTGTGTCCAGCATCCCCCCACTTAAGAGGAGCCTGGGTGGGGGCCGCAAGGGTTCTGCCTGCACTATTAGGACACATGTGTAGCTGTAGAGCTGCCTGATCACCTATGAAAAGTCTTTTAGGAATAAGGGTGAAATGGGCAGTGCCCCTTCCCTGTAGCCTTGGAGAGGGGCTCTGGAGGAGAGAAATGACACACTTGCAACTGAAAACCAGCTGCACAGCCTCATCACATCAGTAATGTTCAGCTGAGGTGGCAGTGATGGGTTGGGGTGGGACTGCTTTTTATTTTTTGGTGCAACTGGAATTTGAACTCAGGGCTTTGCGCTTGCAAAGCGGGTGCTCTACCGTCCATTTTGCTCTAGTTATTTTGGAGATGAGTTCTTGCAAACTCTTTGCCCAGGCTGGCCTGTAATGGTGATCCTTTCAATCTCAGCCTTCCAAGTAGCTAGGATTACAAGTGTGAGCACTGGCACCTGGCAAGCTTCTTATTCTGAGACAGGAGCCAAACCCATCTTGTCCTCTGACACCCCTGGCACTTGAAGAGTGGACGACTAGGTGTGTGGGAGTGTGCAGCTCCTTCCTCAGTGGCCTTGGCCACTCCAGAACCAATGCTTGATTGCAGCTGAACTGTCTGGGCAAGTGTGGCGCATCTACAGATGGGCAGCATTAGGGCAGAGCAGAAGATGCTGTCTTGGGGGATTAGCAGGGTGATTGGAATCTCCTGGTGTTTGATTGTTAGGATGGGAAATGGTTTCTTTCTTCCATTTGCTCTTCACTCACTGCTGAGTATTCCAAAGTTTGGAACAGTAACTCAGAACAAGTAAATGGATGGGAAGATCCAAAACCTCAAGAGTTAAGTGTAACCTTCCAGTATCATTGCCTGAGCCTACATTTCCCTGAGACAGATGTTGAAGGGAAGCAAAAATTCTCGGTTAATTCCTTTTCCTAGAAAACTTGACTTTGTGGATTTTAAAAAGCAAAGCCCTTATTAGGATGCAAGTGCAGTGCTTAAATCTCCATTGATTCTGAGCGTATACTTGGAATAAACACCAAATGTGTTTTGATAATGACAGCATACATGTAGCTTTGAGTTACTAGAAGATCATGTGTACACAGGTCTTGATTGACTTTGTGATGTCTAAACTTGTTCACAAAAGTAATGTGCCATGTTGGGATAGATGCAGTCTTAAAAGGTTGGATGATTCCCCTGCAGTTTAGATGAAGTTTTTTCCCTTCTTACTGTGGCTAGTTGAGCTGAGCAGAGGGCCTTTGTAAGGAAGCCTGTCCCCTTCCCCCTCTTGTTGGACCCTGTGTTTGCATCTTGAGGTAACAGCAATACCCTTCTGCTGACTCGACGCAGCCCTGGTCAGCCTGGCTGGCATCTTTGTTCTCTCACTGTTCTTAGTCTTGAACACTTTTTTACTTTCTGGCCCCACAATACCTAGCACTCATCTTCTATCCCTTGCTTGTCTCTGGACTCAGCCCTTCCCAGTGTCCTGGCTTCTCTCATTGGGGTCGGCGTTAGAAGTCCCGAATACCAGGCACCTGCTGTTCTTGGGTACCCCTTCCAAGCCTGAGTACAGAGCTCTGACCTTTTACAGATGCCACCTGGCCACCTGCTGGAGGTGGTAGCCATAGAATGTGGGGGTGGGGAGGACAGGTCTGTGGCTTCACAGCTCTGTCTCCAGGGCCTAGAATGGTGCCTGGTATGTAATTTGGAAAGTTGGGAATGGGGTAATCAGTTTCACCCTGTTGCTGTGGTCCTTGGTCCTTGGGTCTCCCACCACTCTAATCCCTGAGATTATGCCCAAGGGCTACAAGGGATAAGGGGGATAAGCAGAGAAAGCCCAGATGGCAGAACTTTTTGTGGGTGGTTCTCCCTTCCAGGGCTGGAGGAGCAGGGACTTTGTGGTTATTCAGAACAGTGAACTTGACAATCTAATGAAGGAACTTAAATGAAGCCTGCTGAGTATCTAGACAGTTGAAAAGACTCTGCTCTTCCTGCATGTGACTGTGACTTGATGTGGGGGCATTGCCTCAGGCTGTGGGCGAGGGCGAGGTAATACATTTCCATGGTAACTTGTGTATACATCTGTGCATTAGTAGGTATCTTGTTACTATAACAAATACCCGAGGCAGGCTCCTTCGTAATGAGAACGTTTATTTTGGCTCATGGTGCTGGTCCAAGGTCAAGGGGCCACGGTGGTGATGGCCTTCTTTCTGGCAGAGTCCCGAGGTAGTGCAGGCATCACATAGTGAGGGACTGAGCACACACATGCGTGTCTCCCTTTTGTAAATTGTCCAGGATTCACGTGGGCTCCACCCTGTTGACCTCATCCCATCCTTGTCTCTTTAACAAACCCCACCTCTAAACACCACAGTCATATCACTTTACCCTCTTCATGCCTCCTAATAGGGTTAAAATTCTGCTGTAAACCCATAGGGGCACTCTAACCAATAGTGCTCCCGTGCTTCTGCTGGTGAGCCACCCACAGGGAATGTGTGCAGACTTTCTTCTACATAAGCTCACGCTGCTCTGCAAGGTCTGCAAGGCATGGGTAGCTGTGTCCCTTTAGTGTTGGTCTCAGCCATGCTGCATTGTCCCCACCTAAATGCTGCCAGTGCCTGTCCTCAGGGCACCCTGTTTCTGTCTGCATTTTGTTGGGTGCCTCTCACTCCAGCAGGCCGAGGGCATTGTGCCCCTGGGTCCCTAAGACTTGGTATGCACCATCACAAGACTTTCCTTAGGGCCGGCCACCCTTAGACCCCTTGTGACATCTCAGAGGTCTGCCACAGTCCCCAGGAGCCTTGAATCTCTTGCTGTATTTGGGGCAGGCAAGCAGATCTTGAGTGAGCAATGAAAGCAAGGTGTCACTCTCATGTAGTGTGTATTACTTTGGAGATTTCCTTTGAACTAATCTTCTCCTCTCTTTCACAGTGCATTGGTCATTGCTGCAGTGTTTGACCGAGATGTGAATTGCAGAAGAGCAGCCTCTGTAAGTTCCCTTGTTGGATGTGCTCCTCCCCTGCCTGGAGGTGGGGGCCTGACTGTGGCCCCATCAGCTCCATGACACACAGCACATATTCCCTGGTGTGCACAGAGACAGCAAGAAGAACCCTAAGAGAGCTTCCATGAGCAGGGTCCCCTGGGTAGACTCGGCAGTTCATTTGCCTTGGTATTCCTGGGGAGTGCAGTCGGTTCAACACCCCCACCCCAAGCAGCCAAGAGGGAAGACTGCAGCCAGCTGTGGTGTGTGTCATTGAATAAACACAGGCAATCAGGCCACTGCCTGATGACCAGACTTAGCTTGGGCTGCCTGAGTCCTACAGAGGAGAAGAAAGTGATCCTATGACTCTTCTTGTACTGGGATGGCAAGACAAGTTCAGGGATGGTGGAATAGGTCCAGGGATAGTGGGATAGGTCATCTCCAGAGACTTTGAGCCTCTGGAGGAGCTGCTACTGAGCTGTGGTCAGCTCACCTGGCCATATTTGGGTGGCCCTCACTGGGCAGGCCGTTATACAACTGTCAGCAGGATTTGTGTTTAGAGTTCAGATGCCCAGGGCTCCTAGTGCACTCAACCTTATTGCAGTAGATTTGGACAGAGGGAACTTGAGTAGCTCTGGTCACCTGGAAGGTACTGGCTGGAGCTTCCTGCTGCACACAAATGATGGCTTCTTTCCATGTGTTCTGTGGATGGCTGGGTGGAGGGGCCACACCCTGGCCTCAGGGTAGGTGTACGGAAAGCTCAAAGAGTCAGAAGGCATCTCAGAGCTGAGAAACAGGATTGTTACCCTGCTCTGTATACTGGCTTGGGTAGGCTGAGAAGTCCCTTCTTACTATTAGTTTGTTAAGAAATTTAATTTTTCTTATATTTTAAATCACATCACAGGTTTTGAATTTTGAGATGATCATGTAATCATGCCCCTTGTTCTGTTAATGTGGTGTACCATATGGTTGGTTTTCAGATATTAAATCCATCTTGCATTCTTGGGCTGATTCCCACTTGTGGTGTAGAATCCCTTTTTTTGTGTGGATTGTTTGTCAGTGTTCTTAGAAGTAGAATTTGAGTCTATTTATAAGTGGTACTGGCCAGTAGTTGTCTGTTTTTTCCTTTCTTTTTCTTTTTTGGTAGTACTGAGGTTTGAATTCAGGGCCTCACACTTGCTAAACAGACTCTACTGTTCAAATCATGCCACCATCCCTTTCTCGCTTTAGTTATTTTTAAGTTGGGTTTTGTTTTTTTGTCCAGGGCTGGCCTTGGACTGTGGTCCTCCTTCCTGAGCCTTCTTCTGTGGCTGGAATCACAGGCTTCTGTCCCAGCATGCCCAACTGATTGATTGAGATGAGGTCTAGCTAACTTTTTGCTCCATCTGGCCTTGAACTGCATTCCCCTTATCTCCGCCTCCCTAGTAGTTGGGGTTACAGGCATGAACTACCATGTCTGGCCTCTGTTTTCTCTATGTTCACCAAGGCCCCATCACGACCCTCCTTTCCATCACCTTCATTCCTGTCTTTTCCATCATGCATCACAAGGCTGTTTGCCTTGGGCTGTTGTGCGGCTTTGCACGCTCAGGCCGGTGTACTGACTGCTGCTTTGGCCCCAGGCTTGATATAGGCGCAGCTCCATTGGTGCCCAGGAGTAAGGGCCTGCAGTGGGGGCTCTGAACCCCGTCTGTGTCACTGACTATTCCTGAGATCTCTGCTGAGAGGTCACACAGGTGGAGATGGTAGCTGAGGTTTGTCTGGCTCAGAACGCCTGCAGTCCTAGAAGAGAAACTAAGGCACTTCTGTCCTCCTACTGTGTTCTTTGTTTTCTGTAGCAGAGAAACTAAGGCACTTCTGTCCTCCTACTGTGTTCTTTGTTTTCTGTAGCATTAGTAGGAAGATAATCATTCCTTGGGAGGGCTTCAAGATTTTGCCCTGATAATTTATTTACTCAACAGGTAGTAACTGTAAGACTGAGATATAATAAAGTTTCATGTTAAATCTGTACTTAAAAAGTTAACTTTTATGTTTTCTATAAGCTAAGACATTTTTATGGGAAGCAGTAATAAAATCAAAGCCCTTACGGCTTCATACACTGTAGGAATAAGGTGAAATAGACCAGTATAAACCATTTTTTTTCTTTCTTCAAGCTAAAAGTAAAACCTTTTTAAACTGGCAGGAAATTTTTCATGTTCTGGACTGGAGGTATGCCTCGGTAGTACAGTGCTTGTCTAACTGTCAGGAGGCCTCGAGCTCAAACCCCAGTATCTCAAAAACAAAACAAAAAGCCCTCCCCAAAACACACTCAAAAACCCAAAAACAAACAAACAAACAAAACCTTCAGATTCCATCCAAGCTCAGCTCTGCTTATTTAGAATTAGGATTAAAGCATCTGCAGAACTAAATGACCGAAAGGTGAAGATCACTTGAAGGCAGAAGGGTTGACTGCCTAGTATTCAGGAGCAGTCTTCAGGTAGACTGCTCAGCCTTCTGCTGGGTGCTTTGCTCACATTTCACTCTGTGTTCGTCTATCAAGGTTGGATGTTCTCAGGACACCAGGCCTCTGCTTGTACCTGAGAGATGTCAGCAGGAAAGCGTCCTGAGTTTGCCATCTCTTCCCTGGTCTTCCTCTCCAGCTGCTCATTGTTGGCACTGTCCCCTTCCTGTGGGCACCAGCAGTGCTTGGCAGCCATGATGTTTTTTAGGTAATAGTCATAGCAGAGGCCACTGAGCTATAATTTGTGATCCTCACTGTAGCCCCTTAAGGCATGAGGCAGTGGGTTCATAGGTGAGTCTGTCATTTGTTGTTGACCTTTAGCTCAGGCAAAAAAGGCCCCAGTGTGCTAATATCCGGAAAAGGATTCTCCTCGGCTGAGAACGGTGGGCTGTGAGATGGGGCCACTCGGTTCTTGTGAGAGGTTCAGAACAAGAAATGGAGAGGACACAGGGAGAGGCCCCTTCACCAACAGTCATGAAACTAAGGTGCTGAAGCCTCAGTTTAACCAAAAGTTTGCATCCAGCATTTAATTTGATTTTTAGTGCCTAAATTCTTGTAGTAGTGTTTTTCTGCTTTTTATTTTGAGATAATTGAGATTCACATGAAATTATAAGAAATAACACAGTGAGCTCATGTACCAGTTCCACTCTCCCATGGTGAAGTATTGCCAAACTACTGTGTAATGTCACAGACTGGAAGTGGATCCTTACAAAACCACTGGTGTTATCCCAGGCTCCTTGTCCTGTGAGTGTATAGTTCTGTGTGGCTCCATCATACACACATCTTTGGATCCCCCATGGTCAAGGTGCATGGTGGTACATCACCACAGGAGTCCTTGCATTGTCCTTTAGCTAGGGCCACCTCTGTCCTGACTTGCTGTCATTTCAAGAGTTATTTATTTAGATGGAATCCACAATGAGTGAGCTTTTAGGACAGGCAGTTTCACTGAGCACAGGTCTGTGGAAACTCATCTGTCTGTTGTGTTGGGGGTTAGTGGCTATTGCTCTCACTTGGGTCTGTGTCCTGGCCACGCCATTGTTCAGCCACACATCTGTGAGAGGAAATCTGGGTGCTGCTTGATTGGGCCTATGAAGAACTGAGCTACTGTGAACATTCCTGAACTGGTTCTTGTGAGTGTAGTTTCTCTTTCTCTGTGGAAAATGCCAAAAGCACAGGTGCTGGATCCTTTCCTAATAATCTGCCAGCTGTTTCCCAGAGCAGCTGCACTGCAGCACATTCCTATTTATGTGCGTGGTCCTGACTCTTCCTGTCCTTGCACCATGGGGCATGGCACTGTGCTAGTCCTGCTGCTGAGTAGTGGTGGTGCTTGTGTGTCTCTGATGATCTCAAACCTCTCTGGGTGCTTATTTGCCATCTGCATGACCTCAGGTCATATGTGCATTCCAATCTTGGTTTAATTGGATTTTTTTTTTTTGTTGGCACTGGGATTTGAATTCAGGGCCTCATGCTTTCTAGGTAGGCACTCTTACTGCTTGAGCCACTCTGCCGCCCTGATTGGATTGTTTTCAATGTTGACTTTTTCTTTTTTTTTTTTTTTTTGGCAGTGCTAGGGTTTGAATTCAGGGTCTTATGCTTGCTAGACAGGTGCTCTACTATTTGAGCCACTCTGCCAGCCCTTTTTTTTGTGTTGGGTATTTTTGAGATAGAAGCTCAAGAATTGTTTGCCCAAGCTGGCCTCAGAAAAGTGATCCTCCTGGTCTCTGCCTCCTGAGTAGCTAGGGATTATAGGTGTGAAGCACTGGCACCTGGCTTCATTGTTAATTTGAGAGCTCAGTGGATACTCATCCTTTATCGGATGTTTGGCTTGCAAATCCTCCTTTCAGTCTGGGGCTTCTCTCATCCTTCCAGCAGCCTCTGCACAGAGAGGGTTGTTAGATCCATCCTTTCCTTCCTGTGTTTGGGGAGACACTTGCAGTGTCAAGGCCAGGAACCTCCTGGCCTTGGATCCCAACAGTCTTCGGCTGTGTTTTCTGTCTGTGCCTTCACAACGTGGTGGTTGCTGTCCATGTCCTTCATGCCCGGGTAAGGTGCTCCGAATCCCCCAACCTCTTCTTTTTCTGTTTTTACTGTTTTAGTCCTGTGCTTTCAATGTAAATCTTATTTTTTACTTTTTAGATGATATCCCTGGAATGGTAAATATGTTCTTAAAATGTTACAGTGTTTATTAATTGACATTGTATCTCTTTTGCATTACTTCTTAGTTGTTTTTGTTTCTTTCTTTAATGAGTTGATTGTAAAAATAACAAAATGATAAGCAGCAGAAAGGGTCTTGCTCCCCCGGTTTTCAAGTTTTGTGAGGGCCAACCTGGCAAGACTATTTCTCTTGTTTCTGCCCCAGCCACAAGGCCTTGCCCTGGAGACACCTCTGATCCTCAGAGTTCTCTGGAACTCTGTATGCAGACACTGGAGTTCTGTGCCTCCATTCATTTTCTTTCTGCCTACCTGTGGGTGCTTCAGGAGGCCCCTGGCCTGTGATGGAGTGTTTTCCCAGCTGGGAGTGTTTCTTCTGGCCCCTGACTTATGCCCCTTACCCTCCTGTGTGCCTGCTCTTGCCTGTGCCTCCTGCCAGTAGTCCATGTGGCATGCATTGATAAGGTACAGCTCTGCTCCAGCTTCTTGTCTACATGTGTTTTCAGTCTTTGTTGGTGAACTCAGTCCTGGATGTTTTGAGGAGAGTCTGAAGCCCTGTTAGGTGATAATCAGGAAGTGAGGAGTCATTGTCACCTTGCCCAGACAAACTGTCCTGTGTAGTGCCACAATTGTGTAGGACAGAATGGGAGGTGGGAAAGGAGCCCCTAGGAAGGAGGAGACATCATGTAGGGTTCACCTGGAAGAACTCAGTTGTGTTTAAGCTCAAATGGGACCTTTCAGTCTCAGCTCTGTGCCTGGCGTGCTGGACCCTTGTGGCTCAGAGAGCTGGCTGGAGCCAGAGGCTGAGGTTGGGGGCCTCCACACCCGCTCCAAGATGTCTCTGATGGTCGGAGCTGAGTTGTAAAGTTCCCCAGGAGGGGTGTTGCTAGTGTTGGCTTTCATTCAGGCAGCCTTTCGGCTCTCTCCATTTTGTACTCTGGGGCTTTCATGTGGTCTCTTGTGTGAAGCTGTGTTCCTGGTGAAAGGCCATTTTCAGGATGTGTCTGATTTTATAAATTGAATTCTTAAATTGTGGTTTTGAAGAGCACCAGGACATAAAAACAGTGACAAACCACCCTTGGGGCCATGTTCAGCCAACAATGAGGACTTTTATTTAAAAAATAAAGCCATGGGTCATTTACACTGCACTGTGTTTGTTTTGAATTTATCTTCTGATGCTTAGCAGAAGCAAACTTCACTCACCTGCTTTGTTTGTTCTTTCTGCTCCTCAGGCTGCCTTCCAGGAGAATGTGGGGAGACAGGTATGGCAACTTTATAAATCTTCATTCCTAAGACTTTCTGTAAGTTTGAGGTGGGATTCTTGAAAGCTGTGACTTACTTTGTATTTTGCATTGTTGGATGTGGTAAAGAATGCAGCTCAGAGCAAGCTAATAAACACATCAGCTTCTGGCCCCATACTCCCATCATGTGACCAGAGAGTACTGACACCTGTGAGCTTCATGGCAGATACGTGTGTGAGAGTGTTGTATGGGTGACCTACATGGATACTGACACTCATAAACCTTTCAGGAGATGGTGTGTATGGATCAGGATTTACTTTCAGGAACTTGCCTCACTCACTGCTGAGCGGTGCATGTGCATGGGATGCTGAGTGTACTGTAGGGGTGAGCAGATCCTTGGAGACTGGGCAGAGCACAAGCCATTTCTGTTTGTCCCGTGCACTCCTCATAGGAAGGGACTGGCTGTGGCCAGAACACAACTCTCTGGAAGGGGTCTGCTGTCTCTAGAGCACTCCTCATTGGAAGGGGTTGTCTGTGGCCAGATGCCCTGCCCTGGTTGAGCTACTTGCTCAGTGGTATTTGCTTGCTAAGTTCTCACACAGAGTTGTGGATTTCAAAGATCAGGTACCAGGAATCACCCAGTGAAGGTGGAAAGGTATTGAGGAGCATCCTGAAGGTGGGTGTGTGGAAGGGCTACTTTTGCTGGCTAGACCAACCAGCCCTGGCTCAGAACCACACCCCGTTAACACTGGCCCTTAATGGTGGTGACAGTGGCTTCTCCTCTCTGTGCCTGAAGCCAGCTGAAGGCAGACATTAGGGAGCAGGAAGATAGCCACTGTTAGATCCCAAGTGTTCTAGTTAGGGCCTGAACCTATAGCTGTTGTGGACTCCAGATGGGGTGATGGATCCTCCTACATTCTTAGACTAATTGTCTTTTATTTGTAGCTTGAGAACTCAGCCCCTGTTTTTGACAGTGTTTCCATGATCTTATGTAGCTTTTCGTACACAGAAATTCAGCCTTGAATCCTAGAAATTCAGCCTCAAATCCTAGGTTTAGTTCATACAGAAATTCAGGCTTGAATCCTACATTTAGTCCTTTATGTGTGGGTTGCCCTGGAGCTGGTCATATGTATGTTGTAGGTGACAGGACAGCTAGAGAAGGTGACTGCTTGATGTGCACCATCCCTGGAGCATTCTGGGTGTGCAGAGGGAAGTTTGGGAGGCTGACAGCTTGTTTGGTGGATTCTTCCTGTGCAAGGCAGGGGGTGTGGTACATGGGGTACTGGTGGTTGGTGCCTGGTGCTTGTCAGACCTGTGCCACAGAGCAGAAGTCCCATAAGCTCCTGGGATTAGGCTGGTGCTGAGAGTGCTGCATCAGAGGAGGGGCCCCTGTGGCAACAGCTGCAGGGCCTTCTACATCTGACTAAGGCTTTGTACATTCATGTTTTCTTAGCACATTATTATTTTTCAGATATTTTTGTCAGAGGGTGGGCTCGTAGTCACATACAGACTTTGGGGCCCTCTGTTTTGCAGTCTTGGGGGCCTTGAACCTGCCTGTCCTTGATGCTCCTGGGTTGGCCATCAGCCCCTGCGGCCAGTTGCCCCACTGTCTTGTGCATTCATTCTCATGGAAGTGTGTGGTGCATGGGCTTGGTCCAGGTCTAACAGGCCAGGCGGATCCCACCCCAACCTGTTCTGGAGCCAGGGCTTCTCTGGGGTCTTTGTGTCTGGAGAGGGGGACAGGAAGAGGGTCTTAAGAACAGTTGCTTCAACACTGTTGAAACCTGATTTTTTTTTTTTAAAGAAAGAACTTTTACAGCATTTTGAAGTTGAAAAATTTTGAGTTTGAAAAATAATTTGAATTAAGTGGTTTGGATCATTTTAGAACAGTTTCTGGCTTGGGTGGACTGGTGAGCACTGATGCTGGCTGGATTCCCCTGTGAGCTATGTCCACTGTGCGACCTCAGGGTACTTGCTGGCCCTGTTTCCACGTGCAGATGTGTGTATGCGGCTAGTGACTTGAGGTGCCTCTTCTCAATCAGATTGTTTCTCATTTTTGTTTTTTCTCCAACTTCACTTTTTATCAGGGCACTTTCCCCCATGGAATCGATATTTTGACTGCAGCTGACTATTTTGCTGTAGGTAACATATCCAACTGTTTCCTGGTTATAAGGTAAGTTTTAATGTGAGTCACACAAATGTGTTTTTCCCTTTGACTTAGATGTCAGTTTGGCTCCTGCCACTTTCTTTCTCCATCTTAGAAGTTCCACTGACTGTGAATATAATTTATGTGTGAAAAGTTAAAAATGGAAACTAAGAACTGTTACTGAACATTTTTCACACCAATTGCATAATTCATGGTGTGCTCCAGTAGAAGGCATCTCACACAGTTAGTTGTCCACAGCTAACTGACCAAACTGGCACTTTGTCCTCGCTGTTCCACACAGGGCTGGAGAGAAGCAAAACTGTGCATATCCTCTTCTGTGACAACTTTCCCAAAAGATGTCGCAAGTGTATTGGTTTCTCAAAATTAAATCTGGGATCAGAAGTGACTGTTACTTTTCCTGTTTCGATAAAAACGAGTTTCAAAGTTGAAGTTATCTCTAGGTTGCTTATCCAATGATCAGGAAAGGGTACTTGGGAAACCATGTCAAGAAATAAATATTTCACGTCCTAACTGAAGTTTTCAGAAGTCAAATCAATTCTTTTTTACTCGTATGATCTAAGAGCTGGGGAAATTACTTCACTTGCCTTAGTCAAGCCATCACAATACTAATGTGAAAAGGATGTGTCTTCTGAAGTGATTCATTTGCCTTAAATTAGGAAAAGAAACATGCCCAGTATATTTTAAAAACATTGCTGACCATTTTATATCCTCAGGATAGAGTCCCTAACAGCCTGGTTGTGCAGACCACACCAAAGTGACATTTCTCTATAACTGGCATTGACAGATTTATTAAATCCCAGGAGAGCTGCGTCCACATGCTACACCCCTGTCTCCCAGCTTTTTGTGCTCTTTTCCGCCCATCAATTCTTTCCCATATTCAGTGCTGTTCCAGGTGGGGAGTTGGCCCTGTTTCCCCGTTTCTTGGGCAAAATAACAGGCAGTTAAGTTTGGCTGTGGCATAGTTTGCTGGTCACTAAGGTTTCCACACCAACCTGGAATGTACACGTAATTCACTGTGTGCATTCTGTAAAAACATCTGGTGAAATGTGACCTGGTTCTAGTGTGTTCTTTCTCCGGCATACCCTTGCAATGCTCAGACCAGGTACCATCTGTGAGGACAGCCCAGGAACAGGCTCTGTGCCACACTCCACACTACAGGGCACCCAGCCAGGGCCTCGACTCCCAGACCAGTGTCTTGCTGTCAGGCTGGGCTGAGGGTTGAGAGCAGCAGCAGTGTGCACACTCACAGAGGGTTCTGAGCCAAGACAGCCAGGTGTGAGGTCTGAGCCCAGCAGGGATGGTTGAGTGAGGATCTTAGGACTGTCCTAATGTCCCAATGTGTGGTGGTCAGGGCTGCATTCTGGTAAACAGAAATGGGGGCAGGGGCCTGGAGGCCGGCCCACTGGAGCAAGGGTATTGTCAGGATCAGGGCTGAGATGGACAATGAGTGGGATGAGTGAAACGAAGGAGGGAGAAGGTGTCTGGTTGGTACTGGGGAAGGTGGGCACGCTGCTCTGCCTGTGCTGAATTTGAAGGGCTCGTGGCTGCCTTTACCGGGGACAAGATCCAGGCTGATGTAGATGAGGCTCCTGTGGACCAGAATCAAAACTGATCGCAGTCATCTTACTGCTGTGTTGTTGCACTCACCTTTGTTGAGTGTGTTGGAGGCTGTGCATATGTGCAGCATGTGTGTTTTGATAAATTTTGACATGTACAAGTCTACATGTTACATTGGTGAAGACAATGGAATGCCTGTGTGCCCCATGCCCACCAGGCCCTGGCCTGCTGCCTTTGTGACAGGATGCAGTCCCAGTATATATTACCAAGTTGCACCGTCTGCTGGCGCTTATCCTGGCTTCTCTTAGGTGTGTCCACATGTGTGGGTACTTCACTCCTTCACTGCACAGGTGTTCCCTTGTGAGGGTACATGGCCTTCGTGTCCACTCACCTGTTGAGGGACATCTGGTTGTTTTGGGTTTGGGGCCATTGCAGGTGAAGCTGTAGTAGGCATCCTGGTATATGTCTGCCTTTGGACATATGTGATTGTTTTTCTGGGATAAGTGTCTAGGAGTGAGCATCTGGATCATAATCTTTCATGATAGCTAAAGGATTCCCAACATGAGGCACCATTTCATGTTCCCACAGCAGAGGGTTCTGGCGTCTGTCTTTCCAGCGTGGGTGTAGTCAGTCTCTGGTGTCTGTGTATCCACAATGTGGTATGGTCAGTCTTCAACTTTATTATGTTATTGGGCAGCTCATTAGCTTGGGATTTCCTAATGACTGATGGCTGAACATCTCATGGGCTTATTCAACAGTTTTTTGTCCACTTGTCTGTTGGGTTGTTGTTTTCTTTTTGGGTATTGAGAGTTCTTCATGTATTCTGGAACAGTTCACCTCTGATGTTTGTCAGTGTTTTCTCCTAGTCTGGCGTGTTCTCTCAACATCTTGCATGCTTGTTAAACAGGTGATGTGACATGATTGGCCTATAGTAAAGTCATCAGTCTTAATTGTGGATTTGGGTATGAGGCTGGCCCTAGGCAGAGTGAGCAGTTGAAAATCCACTGCATGGTCCACACGGAGAACTTGTACCCCAGGAGGTAACCTGCACAGCGCCAGGCTCACCAACTGCATGTCCTGTCCTCACGTGAATGGGTCACAGTGCCTCTCACCCTTTTCCTCGCACTCTGCTAGTTCTTTCTGTTCTGACTTCGTAGGACCTGGGTGGGTTAGTCACTGCTGAGGACAGTCCCCTGTGACACTCCATGCTTTATCTACCGCTGGTCCAGGGACTTAGGTGCCTGTGGTTTACCCTGTAAAGGCTGGGCAGGAGTCTGTCTGCCTGGCCAATTTCCTGGAAACAACATTGTCTCCTTGTTTTCTTGCTTGTCTTTTTTGCTCTTGTAAATTTCTCAGTTAGATTTATTATTTATTGATTTGTTTTTTTGGTTTATTTGAAACAGGGTCTCACTACATACCCAGTCTGGCCTCAAACTCGTGATCCTTCTGCCTCAACTCCCGAGTGCTCGGATGCCACCACACCTGGCTCTTGTGAATGTCTTTAACTGATTTCCAACATCTTCAGTTTTGAACACCATTTAAAAAAAATGGCTTTGTGTGTTTCGCTTTCTAGCAGTTGTTTTCTAGGAGTTTTGCACATTTGTGTCCTAAAAGTTACTCAGGTCAAGGCAAACTTGACCTGACCTGAGTCTATCTCCTGACTCACTGCTTCTCACTCCTCTGCTTGTTTCCACACTGATGGGTGGCTTTGTTCTGCCCTAACCTGCCTCCCTCCCTCTACCCCAAACTCCATGTCTTACTGTCCTGGACACCTGCAGAGGCCTCCTGGCTGCCAGCTCCATGGCTGGGTAAGACTTGACTCCCATCTGAGTTTTGTTCTGCTGCTCCGGGATCTGTCTGAAGTCTCATTAACACAACACCACCTCCCAGTCCACCTTCTCCTGCCCTTTGGAGGACACTTCTCTTGGTTGGCAAGGGCACTCCTCTTAGGGACAAGTGCATGTTGGGAACAGGCTTAGGGCTGCTTTGGCCAGGTTCAGGAGTGTCTTCCCCAAGGTCACCGCTAGGTGGTGGTGGAACTGGGACTAGTCTCAGGCTGCCTAGTCTCCATCTGCACCTTCTGTGAGGTGCTGGTCATCTGCCTACTTCTCTGTGGTCCTGTGTCTCACCACACCTCTTGTAGGCCCTAGCCTGGCTGTGTGAGGGTCTGCCTGTTGGTTGTACAGGGGTCCTGGTGCTGGGGAGGGGGCGCTGTTTCCCACAGCCCCTGGGAAAACCACATCTGCCTTGCTTTCTTCTCCTAGTTGTTTCGCCCGGCTCTGGTTTCTTGTCCTTGGCATTTTCCTGTGTTTTGGAGAGTGTTCGTATGTGCATATGGGCAGGTTGGCTGAAAAGATGAGGGGCAGCTCCAGCCCACTGTTCAGTGAAGAAAGCTAGGTTAGTGTGTGCTTTCTGATTGGAGGTGCATCTCCTGTCCACGTCTGGGCATTGCACCATCTCTATTGGCTCCTTGGGGCCTGCAAGGCTGTCCAGCCTTCTCTTACAAAATGTGTGTGGTTGATAAAACTTCTCGCCTGTGTGGTATATCTGAAAGTATTACTAAGTTGTGGGCTAGAGTGTAGCTTACTGGCAGAGCGCTTGCCTCACGTGTGCAAGGACCTGGGTTCAGTTCCCCAGCACTACACACACACACACACACACACACACACACACACACACACACACACACACACACACACACAACCCAGAAACCCCAAAGTAGGCCAGACTCTGTGGCTTATGTCTATGCTACTTGGGAGGATTTGAGGCCAGCCCAGGCAAAAGGTTAGTGAGACTCTATCTCAAAGAGCAAGGCAGGTGTGATGGTACACATCTGTAATCTGCTAGTCTGAGGCCTGCTTGGGTAAAAACAGGAGACCCTATTCAAACCCTAGTACTGCCAGACAAACAAAAAACCCCCAAAACCAAAAGTGAGGTTGTGGGCCAGGGCTATTTATGCTTTTAGTTTCCTGCGTCATGCGATACCTGTCCACAGAGCCTGCCCAGCAGGGCTCCACGGTCCTCTCAGACCCCGAGACAGGTTGTGGAGCTCTGCTTTCCTTTCCTGCACAAAGGCGCTGCTTCTTGCAGTCTCTGATGTCCTTATTGATTGGAAGACTTCACTTATTTTACAGAAGTCTACAGTGATACCAGTCGTAGATTTTTTTTTCTGGGTTTGTTGTTTGTCTTTTTAAAGAATTGCCTTTTGTTTTGTTTTTGGGACAGGGTCTTGCTAAGTAGTCCAGGCTGGCCTCAAACTCAGAATCCTCCTGCCTCAGCCTCCCAAGTGCTGGGATTACAGGCCTTTGCCATCACTCCTGGCTGCATTTTTTTTTTATTGTACAAAATAATGGGTTTCATTATGGCATTTTCATACATAGATGATACACTTTCACCTTAGTTGTCTTGACTTTATTTTTGGTGTTTTTCCTGGCAGACATTTTCCTTGGGGTTTTGTGTTTGAATGTATTGGTTTCTTCTTTTAAGTTCTCCCACGTTGTTTCCAAGAGATGTAACTTTTATTTTTGCATTGAGGGTGGAACCCAGGCCATGAAGAATGCTAGGCAGGTGCTTACCCACTGAGGCACACCCAGAACTCTAACTTACTTTGAGGTATCACTAGCATTCCATGACCCATACCTCTGTGCATGTGCAGTTCAGCACATGCTGACACGTGCACGCCTGGGAACCCACCTTCATTGGGATGCCAAAACTGCTACCACCTCTGTAGGCCATGCTGCCCAATCCTGGGCACTGGCTTCGCCTTCACTGTAGACCAGCCATGCCCTTTACAGAACGCACAACAGGTATAGCCAGGACATCATATATTCTTTTCTGTCTGGGCTCCTTTTCTCAGAGCAGTGGCTTGTTATCCAGCTATGCTATAGGTGCCTGTGCATTGCTGGGTCTGTGCTGCTTTGTGGCTGAGCAGATCACCTGCCATCATATCTATCTGCAAGCAGTTAGGCTATTTTCAGTTTTTCACTGATGAATAAAACTTTAATAAAATTTAATTAGAAATCCTTACGTGGATGTAATTTTAATTAGTCTTAGACAAAGACTTCAAAGGGAATTTCTGTGAACTGTTTTGAATGTGGCAGTGTGATTTTTTGTGTTCCTACCAGAAATATAGGTTGTTCTGGTTCCCCCTCACTCTCACTGACACCTGGCATCTGTCAGTCTCCTAATACCCCACAGTTCTGCTGGGCTCAGTGGTTTGCATTTGATGTTGGACATCTTTTTACATGCTTATTGGCCTTTATTTGTCTTCTTTTGTGATGTTTCTTTACAAATGCAAGGCAGTTTTTTTATTTGGGTTTTGTCCTCTATATATTCTGATAAAAACTGTCATTTGTGTGTATTCCAAAGGCTCTTTTCCCCGTCAGTGGCTTCCCTTTTTCATTTTCTGAAATCCCTTTAACACCCTTATTGAAAGGTAATCGATGTATGTTATATGCACATAAAGTGTACAGCCATGAAAGCATCATATGCCAAGGAAGTGAACACATTCGTCAGCCCATGAGCTCTGCTTCTGTTAGTGTGGACTGGTTTGTATTTTCTGGATTTTTGTATAAATGAGGTAAAATAGCATTTTCTCATTTTTGTCTGATTTCTTTCACTTAGCACAATTGTTTTGAGATTCACTGTTTTTCCTTGTCCAAAGTCCATTCCTTTGGGCTGCAGAGTGTCCAGTACATGGATGGGCAGTCTACTCTGGCGCTTGCACCCCGAGGTCATGGTCACCCCCAGTCATGGCTGCCTCCAGTCATGGTCCAGAGGCATAGTGCTGCTGCACTGTATGCACAAATCTGTGTGGATGAGCACTTTCCCCCCTGGTAACTGTTAGGCAGGGAATGGCTGTGTCATCTGGTTAGTGTCTTTACTTTTGAAGAATTGGACAAACTGATTTTGAAAGTAACTGTGAGTTTTGTATTTTCTCGAGTAGTACGTGAGGGTTCTGGCTCCTCCACACCCTCACTACCTCTTCCTAGGCAGGCGCTCTACCACTTGGGCCACATAGTCCCCAGCCACCTCACCACCTCTTAATGTTGTCTCTTTCAGTGTGTTTATTGCCGGTTTCCCAGAGTATACCCAATCAATGATAGACCACCTGCTCACCATGAAAATTAACCACTGGGACGGGTAGGTTTTATGCTTTTGTGTTCCTCAGAAATTCTTTTTTTCCCTCAAAGGAGAGATTAAATTGAGTCTATGAGTTATGAGTATATTTTCTCACTATATTTGTCATACTTAAAAAAAATAACTTGTGAGAAGTAATGTAATTTCCTATGTCCATGCCTGGCATGCTGGTTAATGGTCTGTCTCCAGTTTCAGTTCTGGAGCTCTGGCCAGGTATGTTCAAGGTGTAATTATTCCCATGTAATGCTTCGTATCCTATGTAACAGGGAAGCTGCTGCCTGAGGACTGCCGTGGGTCAGGTGGCTGGAGCAGCCTCACCTCCTGGGCAGGAAAGGTGCAGCTCCCTCTGGCCTCCTTGATGTCACCCAGCAGGCTAGGGTGGCTGTTGCAGAATTATAGTAGCAGTTTTCAGGGTATCTTAGCATTTTATGGGCAGTTCAATGTGTGTCTCTAAAAAGGAAAGTGAGGTGTGTAACTCAGATCATAGGCACAAAATTAGTGTGTTGTGTTGCTGCTGCCTCTAGCATGCTGGTCAGCTGACACCCAGCTGCCTGGAGATGTGAGTGGCCTTGTCAGGATGTCAGTCCCGAGTCCCACTTTCAGAGTGGGTGCCACATGCAGGAAGCTCCTTCTGGCCTGTTGCGGAAGGCCTTCTAGCTTCTCCAGTAACTGAAGCCTTAAAATTATTTGTCTACAGCTGCCATACAGTAGACAGCAATGCTTGTGCAGTGTGTATAATGTATAATCTGGGTGGCTTTCTGGCATGGGGAGCCTCTCGCATGAGACCTCCTGCTGTCCATGAAGGCTGTCTGTGGCCACCTGCCAGAAAAGCCTTCCCTCCCTTTGTGCCACATCTGGGACACCAAAAGCTTTTGTTAGGAGCACAGGTCCTGTAAGGGAATACAGAAAGGGTTAGTTAACTTGTCGATCATACCAGCTTATTGGCCAATGTATTATTTAAAACCACAATTGTAAATATGTAGACTGTGAGTTACATTAAATGCTGGAGCTATTGAAGACTCCAGACCATTACTGTGTTGTCTGTTTCTTGTTGTAACTCCATCAGTTTCCCTTCCTGTGTTTTGAGTTGGGTCTGTTTTAAATGTTTGTGCATCTGTAATCTTTACATCTTCTTCTTCTTTTTTTTTTTTTCTCGTTATTGTTTTTTGGTGGGACTGGGGTTTGAACTCAGGGCTTTGCGCTTGCAAAGTAGGAGCTCTACTGCTTGAGCCATGCCTCCAGTCCTATATCTTCTTAATGTATTGAACCTTTGTTGTTATGAAATGTCCTCTTGATCTCAGATTAGGTTTCCCATCTTAACTCCATATTGAACCTGTTTGCACAGGCTGGTAGGCTTTTTCTTTAAAGGCCAGGTAGTAAATACCTTAAATCTCTGTCCCAGGTATTTTTTTTTCTTCAAACAACTGATAGAAATGTAGAACCATTCTTAGTTTAGGGCCTCGGGTTGGGTCTGGCCTGGCTGCAGATGGCCATCCACGTTGCAGCATGTGTCAGAGTTCTTTTCCATTTAAGGGTGAAGACTATTCCATTTATGCCTCTGCATCTTGCTCATCCATTCATCCACTGATGTGTCCTTGGGTTGCTTCTACTTTGTGGGTGTGATGAGTAATGCTACTATGAATGAGGGTGTGCAAATTTCTCTTTGCTGACAGCCCCCCCTACCCCTAGGACCATCCGAGAACTGTCGGCAAAGGCGCTGCACAACCTGGCCCCACGAGCGCCTGAATACAGTGCCACTCATGGTAGGTGTACATCCCACTGTCTCAACAGGCACCTTGCTCCAGTGCACATCTATGCACACCTGTGCACACTTGCACACTTGTGTACCCCTACATATATATAGCAGAAAGATGTCAGGAGTGCTGTCTTGCTGGTGACTGAAAATGATGTTCTGTGTCACTTGCTGAAGAACTAACTGGGCTTAGTCAGGGGTCAGAGAACAAGTCTGCTGGGTTTTAGGTGGTGCCAGGCACAGGCACCACCCACACAGCATCTCTAGGTCATGACGATGATTTTGGCAGCCTGTGCTAACATGGTGATATTTATCTTATTCTTGGTGTCCAGTTTGGCATCCTGCTTTCCCTTCTCTGAATGTTCTTTGCTCTGAGCACCAGAGGGAACTAGAGCATAGGTGCCCATGGGCCACATGTGGCCTTGACCTCCTGCCACTCCTTAGGCAGAGCTCCTACCTTCACCTAGTGACAGTGGTGCAAATGAGATCTTCTGTCCCCTTGCCCTGCCACCCGCCCATGTCTGGGTGCATGCACTGGTCTGGATGCTGCACCCCACCAAGGAGCAAGCTCTGCCCCACAGTGAGTGCACCTTCTGCATGGTGACATCCTCCTTCATGCTCGTGACCCTACAGAGGTGATGTCTGGGAGTGCATCTGAGTGGCGGGCTGTCTGACATGTCTGCCAACCTGTGTGCCACCATCTGTTGCAGTGCTTCCAGCCCTGCTGCCCATGACGCTGAGTCCGGATCTGCACGTGCGGCATGGGGCCATTCTCTCCTGTGCAGAGATTGTCCATGCCCTGTACAAGCTGGCAGCTCAGAGGGACAGGTAGGAGAGACTGTTTCATTCATGGTCTGTCTGGAGAGCCATGTAATTACGGTGATTTTGGATTTGGGAACAGCTCTTTTGTTCTCACTTTTGTTTCTCTGTAATAGTCGTGGTCTTTAGGTTCCTATGTTTTGTTTTGAGGTTTGTCAGTGGTTGGGACCACCCACCTTTCCTCAGCTAGGGGCACTGTTTGGCAGCTGTGAGGTGGCTATGCCGTCCTGCCACCCTGTTTCACCATGTCCCCAGGTGCTAAGTCACACAAAGAGAGCCAAGATGCCTTCTCTTAGGAGCCCTGAGCAGCTCACCTGTCTCGTATTCTTACCCATTTGTCATCTTAAGTAATTTAAAATACTCTAGGATGTAAGTTTGAAAGTTCCCCTCGAGCGTTTTCTCCATTGGCTGCTTTAGTAGAATCATAGCACAGCAGAAAGTGCAGGAGGCTCTGCAGGAGGCGTGTTCCAAGAGCTGCTTGATTCCTTTACTTTTCTGTCCAGTTGACTCCTCTCAAAAGTAAGGTCTCACTAACACACCATGGTGTCTGGCCTGGCCCTGGGAGTCTAGCTTGAGAAAAGGTGCCATTTGAGGCACTTCCTATTGTGTTAGGTTGCTTCCTGGGGCAGGTGACAGCAGGTGGGGATGTGAACCTCACTTGCACCCACCAACTCGAGGGAGCCTTGGTGTCTCCCACGGAATCAGGGTGACTTGGGTGCCTGTTGTTGATGGCCTCGCCCTCCTTGGTTGTGGGAAAGTCACATGGACAAGATGCAGAGTCCTCTCCTAGTTGGAACTCATGGGCCTGTGTCTCTCCCCAGCAGTGCATGTGGTGGCATGGCATGGCATGGTGCAGTGCTAGATACCGGGAACACACTTGAGACCCACATAGCACACTGCAGGCCCCCAGGTAAACATGCTCTGCCCCAGCGGGTCAGGCAGGACAGATGTCATTGTCTTGAGTAAAGTGGCTGTAGGTCAGAGATTTAAAGGAACCACCACTGTGACCCAGCACAGCTTTATCTGAAGTCAGAAAGGGGCTTGCCCTGCAGACACCTGCAGGACCAGCGGGGACAGATGTTCCAGAGTCGCCTGTTCCTCAGTGTGGGCCTGGGCTCTGACTTGGTATTTCTGACCCCAATGTTGTGTTTGACCTCCTGTAGGCCCGTCACGGACTACCTGGATGAGAAGGTGGTACAGAGCCTGAAGCAGATTCACCAGCAGGTTTGTGTGGCCCTCTTGAACATGGGGCCTGCTCCTTTTAGAGGCATGGCAGGGTCTGGGGTTGTCTGCCTGGGACCCAGTGGGGTTTCTGGGTGTGACTTGTAGTCACTCATGTGGTCCTCGGGCATATTAGGATGGGGAGTAGTAATAGACCTCCTGTGGCCAGAGTCGTCAATGTTACCCGCACTGCCCAGTGGGTTTCAGGGCTGTGTTGGTGCATTGGTTTCCCACTGTGGTGCCTGACAGTGCTCCTTGGATGGAAGGAAGGGACAGCCCAGGGGTTGTCTTGTCCCCTCTGTCCTGAACAGGTGTGTGCTTATGGAGGGAGGGAGTGGGGCACCCATGACATGAAGATCTTTGGTTTTCACCTGTGCACCTGTGAGTCTTTTGAGATTAAATCCAGAATTTTGTGTGCACATTTCTCTGGGGAGAAGTGTGCATTTTTCTGGGATTTTGAGATTCTCAAAGCCTGCTATGTCTCAAAAGAAGTTTAAGTATGAACTTCAGATCCTTTCAAAATCATTCCTAAGGAATTAAGTGGTTTTACTCTTTCTTGTCCCAAAGAGTTTTTTCATTTCCTTAAGATTTACTCTTTACATGGCATTGGGCCAGCCGTTCAGTCTCAGGTCCGTATCATAGTCATGCCTTCCTGACCTCATCACGGTGATTTGGTTAGTTTGCTTACATTTTTCACTTTGCAGCGGAGCCCGGCATCCTTGGGCAGCCTTGGAGGTGAGGGTGAGGCTGGAGGAGCCCAGTGTAGTTGCTGAGAGAACAGAGATGCAAGTCCTCTGAGCCAGGATTCCCTTTCTGTAAAATAAAGATAATAACAGGACCTCATTCTACATTTAAAGATTTAGTGGAATTTGGGGCAATGTGTAGATATTCAATAAACTCTAGCTGTAATGATGTTGCAGTGAAGTGCTTTTTAAAATTCTTTTGAAAACAGAGAAATATCTTAGACCTTTTTGGCACGATTAGTTTTCTGCCCAAGAGGCTATCTAGGAGGAGGTTAGGAATCGGACTCTGGGGCCAGGATGAAGATTGTCTTGATCTTCCACCCTCTTCCTTCCTTTCTCTGAGCCTTAGTTTCCCTTCTGAGATAGCCCACCTGAAGAACATGACCAAGGCCTGACAGAGAGTGAGGTGTGCCTCTTTCCTGGGTCCTCCTGGTTGGCTGTCTGGCCACTGGGCCTGGAAGTGCTCAGCTCTGCCATCCCGTCACCATTCTTGTGTTGAGAATTGTCAATGTTATGTGCATGCTGTGTTACTTAAAGTCCAAATCACTGAGATTGCTAACTTGTGATTCTTTATTTTCAGCTTCATGATCGTCATCTCTACAGGTAAGCCTGCCGGAGTGAAATGTTCTCATGTGCTGTGTGGCATGGGAGTGTGTGCTGTTAGAAGTCCCTGGGCCAACACTGCACTCTGAGAAGCCCACCTGCTGGCTCATCTTCATCCCTCCACACTTAAAATCATGTTCTCTTTGTTTAAGGAAGTGCAGCTATCACTTAGCTGAGCGTTCAGAGGTGTGAGGGTCTCACCTCTTTGGTATCTTCAGGCTTTGTGTTGCCCCTTGGTTCAGGGTGTGGTTAATGGTTTTGTGGCTGTGGACAGTGTGTCCCCCAAGATACAGGGCAGGCATCCCTGGAGCTTCCTCCTGCTCTAGCCCCTCACATGCTCTGCCTCTGCAGCCATGCCTGTCCTAGGGTTCTGTGGGATCATCTCAGGCCATCTGGGCCTGGCTGTTCCACCGAGCATGCTTCTGAGGCTCACCCATGTTGTGTGTTGCTGATCTGTTCTTTTTGCTGCTGTGTGGCACCTGTGGTGTGAGCGTTGTAGCATGTGACCCCTCACCTGCTCGGTGTGCTAGGGCTGTGTTGGGCAGAGCTGCTGTGAAGGCACCAGGGGTGTCTTGGTGCACTCGAGCACCTGTTTTCTTGGTACAGGTGAGAGATAGTTTTCTGAGTCATGCGGCACATGTGAGTCTAAGATAGACTCCTCTAGAAGGGCCCTTATTGTTCACCCATGACCCTCTGCCCATGTCCTGACCTGCATTTGGTGTGCTCAGCATCACACCCGAGCCATTTTTTTTTGGTCGTACTGGGGTTTGAACTCAGGGTCTCACTAGGTAGGTGCTGTACCACTTGAGCCACTCCAGCCCTTTTTTGTATTGGATATTTTTGAGATAGAGTCTCTTGACTCTGGCTGGCTTCAAACTGTGATCGTCCTGCTCTCTGCCTCCTAAGTAGCTAAGATTGTGGGTGTGACCTTCTGGTGCCTGGCAACCTGAGCCATTTTTGTGGTGTATTTGTTGCATTTCCCCAGCACCTGCATATGCAGAGTGTCTTTGTATGTGGACAAGGCATTGTTCTGTCTTTGTTGGTGCAGTGACATTCGGACCTTTAGCTCATTAGAAACTTGATCATCTATCTGTCAGAGCTCCCAGGTATTTAGATTGAGGTCTTTGGCACATGGGATTTACTCTGTGTTTTTTCCCACTCTGGTTGGCTGCTTCATGCTCTTCGTGGCTTTTTGCCATGTCTTGTTGAGGGGAGGTGAGCATCGTGCTGTTTTGCACTCTTCAATGGCTAAGCCTTCCTTCCTGCCTCAGCAGGACAGACCCTTGGTGAGTGGGCAGTATAGGTGGTGGGCTCCTTTGTCACAGTTACTTGTCCCATGGCCTTGAGCATTTTTGCCCAGTGAGGTCTTTTGAAACCTTTCTTTTCCTGTTGCTGAACCCTGCCTGGATTTGAGTAAAAGTTTTTTGACTTTTAAGTGGCATGATTAAAAAAAAAAAACAAAACAGATTTGGAGAGTGATGGTACTTGGGGGACCTTGCTCTTGGGCTGAGGTGGCGGAGCTGTGATGAATCTTGTGGTGGCAGAGGGGCTTCTTACTCAGCCTTGGGGCAAGAGCCTGGGTGCCCTGTGTGGGTTACGGTAACTCAGTGTGGTTGCTTATGCCTGTGTTCTGCAGTCAGAGCATGTTTCTGAATGACATCTGGGATCAAAATTCCCAGCAAGGTAAACAGTAGTGAGAGACTTGGGAAAGATGGGTGAGCTCAGGCTGCTTCTCCAGATTTAGTTCATTCATTGTTCTCAGCCCAACAATGGCAAAGCAGAAAGGGGGGGGGTGGTCTTTTATCTCACTGTGCTGTCCTGTAGGTTAATTAAATTTGTAGACTAGCAACTTGCATATAATAAAGTGTCAGTTTTAAGTGTGAAGTTTGACAAGCTTTTCCCAGTGCATGTAGCCATGTAACTACCATGCTGATGGTGATTTGGGACATTTTTCTACCATGTTGACCCTAACTCCACTCCTGCCCTTACAGTCAGTGCCCCCTAGTCCTGCATCACAGATCTGCTTCCTGCCTCTGTAGTTTTAAATTTTTCCTCTGTACTTTTTAACCTGCTGTTGATTGCATTTGATGCAATTTTTCTTTTCAGATTTATGTTTTTAAATTTTTCTGGAAGTTCCCTTTATATCTTTTTTATATTTTGTTTCTTTCCTCATCCTGCTTATGTTTTCCTCCACCTTTTCGGACAGTGGAGGCTATGATAGCTGTTTTAATGACCTGTATGCTGACGTCATCACTTGGACATTTCATTGTGGTCACATTTTCCTAGTAGTTCTGAGTAGCTAGATTCATACTTTCTGAAATTGACATTTCATAGACTGGATTATGTTATTTTTCTTTTAATAGCATTGGCTCCTTTCCTTCTGGTGCTGTTTGGATCCTTGGCCTTGGTGGGTGGGTTTAAAACAGCATTAGCCCCTTGCTGACACAGCCCCTGAGGATTTTTTCTTTTTTTTTTTTTAGGTACTAGGTACTAGGGTTTGACTCAGGCCTTACACTTGCTAGGCAGGCACTCTACCACTTGGGCCACTCCACCAGCCTTTTTTTGTATTGGGGTATTTTCAAAATAGAGTCTTGTGCAGCCCTTGGACTGCAGTCCTCCTGGTCTCTGCCTCCCAAGTAGCTAGGATTACAGGTGTGAGCCACCAGCAACACCACTTACCGCCCCCCCCCCCCCCCACCCCCGCCCAAGATCTTGCCAGGTGGCTTTTGTGGCCAGGTGGGCTCTGAGGGGTGCCTTACCTTCTCCTCAGCCACAGATTGCCAGATTGCCCCACCCTACTCCTTTGCTGTAGTCTCCATCCACTTTGCCTTGCCCACTGTCCATCTTGATGACTTGGTGTAAGGACAGCTGGGCTCCCTTGGAACTTCACTCATGCTCTGTACCATGGAATTTTCCCTAGCATTCTGCAGGCACTGGGGGGCCTTGGTCTAGAGCTGTCTCCCAGGATCTGCTCCAGGGTTTTCTGTACTTTGTCCAGTTTTCTGGTTGTTTAAGGCAGCATTGCATCTCCTGTCAGGGAGCAGTGCCAGGTGCGGGGCAGGTGGTGGCAGCAGGGCAGGCAGTGATTCCTGTCTGGTTTGCTGACAGATGTTAGTCGGCTGCACCTTTGGCCCATGGGATGGGCATCTTTGTGAAGTGAGGTTGAGTAGCACGTAGGGTTCATTGTTACACAGGATGGACTTAGTGTGTGAGGGCCAAGCATCTGTGAAAGCTAAAGGATGGGAGGTCACTAGAGGATGGTCTTTTCATGGCTTTTAAGAAAAAGTACTTCAGTGACAAATTCACCTCATTAACATTTTAATGCATTTTGGTACCTGAAGTTATATCTGTTGCCTGGTGGGAGTGTTTGATGTTGTTTTATGTAGTAGGAGATTTTAACTCAGAATGTTCTCATTGTTTTTTTAGGGGCCTGGGAGGAGAGCTCATGAGACAAGCAGGTAGGTCTGAGGGCAGAGGCCCCAGCCCTTCTCCTGACCATGGGGGATTATTGTCCTGAGATGTTCACATTACTCCTTTACTGTTGGCCTTACACAGTGACAGGTGGCTGTGGTTTCTTCTAGTTGGAGGTCCTGCACCATGCCTTGTTCTCTCACACCTACTCCTGTGTGTCTGACCACTCCAGTTCTCAGCTCCTGGGCTTTGCTTTGTTTCAGCAGCTGCAGGGCTGACCGGCAATGGGGTGGACGTGGTGCACTAGGGAAGCTGACTGTAAGTCTCTTCCTCTTTGACGAAGTATTTAAGGTGAATGTAATGGAGAGCAGACAGTGGTTTTTCTTAAATGTCTTCAGGGAATGCGCAGGATGCCACCATGTGTCTAGATTTCTTGCAGCCTGTTCAGCTGAACCTGCTACAAAACCCGGGCACTCACTGGCTTATCTGGGGACATGCTCCACATGCCCTGGTCAGTCCTGGCCCACAGGTGCATGGAGAGCTACCCAGGTGGAGGTGGTGAGTAGGTGTGTCCACAGGGCGCTGGCTTGGCTCATGTTGGGGTTTTTTGGAACTGTCAATGCCCTCTTCAAGTTGTTCTGCAGGCCTGGATGGCAACCCCAGGTGGGCTGTGCTCACCCTGGCTGAGGGTTGATAACTTGGAGGCTGGATGGGAGGGTTTTAGGCCCTACACTCAGAGGGCAGGCCGTTCAGCATGTGGAGACTGTGCTCCCACAGGCAGGCCTCTGCACGTCCTATCATCTTGGTGTCCTCCCTGTGGTGGGCAGTGGTGGGAAGCATCTGGAGCACAGGTTGGGTGGGACAGAGCATGGACACAGTTGGCCTTGCAGGACCTGGGTGGAGAGATGGCCCAGTCCAGGGCTAGAGAATGGAGGGCTCCTAGGACAGATCTGAAAAGTGGCACCTTGGACAGGCATCTTGACTTGGTACTTTCGTTGTCAGCTGGCTGGCACTTGCCATCTGGGAGCAGGCAGGGGGTGATGGTACCTGTGCGGGGGCACAGAGAGTCTAGCAGGGCATGCCTGTGTGCTCCATGATGCCTGTGCTGAGTACAATGGAAAGGTCATTAGCTAAGGAAAGCCAGAGTTGAACTGTCCTGAGTGACCTGTCAGAAACAGGACATGCTTGTGTCTTTCTACAGTGTCAGAATTTATTGAATAACAACAAATTTATAAACTACAGCAACTTTGTTGGTGTTAATTCACTTAGTACTACTTAAATCACTTGATAGCCTAAGCTGTTGACAACACAATTTATTTATTCCAGTCTTATTACTCATATTAGCTCTCGGGTCACACATAACACTTCACACAGTAACAATAATTAGGAAAGGGTTACAGAGGCTGCAAGGTTCAGAGGGTTGCGCAGATAAAGAGCTGGCGTAGATGCCGGCAAAGATCTGTAGGGACCAGGTGAGAAGTTCTAGGAACTGTGGGCACAGAGTGTTTTAAAGTGCAGAGTTGTCAAATGCAGGTCTGGATGGCAGGCCCTTTCCACTGTCAGTTTGACAGTGTGTCAGGCAAGGGAAACTGAGCTCGAGCTGGAGTCCAGGACAGAGGCACAGGTCCTTCGCTTTGGCAATTTTCCTAGATAAGGCTCATGATGAGTGACCTGGTGACAAGGTCAATATGCTGCCACATCTCAGTCTTTTACAGTCCCAGGTAAGGGGGTTACAGCTGATGCAATTCATGTGTCTGAGGTTTCTGATATGATTTGATATATTGCAGATATAACTGTTGGGACAAATAAGTTATTTACTGGTTTGTACTCATGTGCTGACAGATGATGGTTGCTTATCTGTATAAACAAGATGAAGAATCATTTTATTTTTGTTTTTATACTTAAAATGGAAGAGCTGAGGTCAAAACTATTGCTTTATAACATGGAGTATGTCAAGGCTAGGCACAGCATGAAAACTCCTGTTCTGTACAACACAGAGTAACAGAGTAGGTGTGACCTGCTATCCTCATGAACCCTGTGGTGCCTGTATAGGTGCCATTCAGGAACATAGGAGCTGTATACTGGGAGTGATGCACTGAGAAGCCCCCTTACCTGTCCTACAGCACATGGGCCTGGGAGAGGCTCATGACAGACCACACCCAGCTGAGCCCAGCCCTTCTGCAGCTCAGAATCCATTTGGGGGAGGGAAAACTCAGGTTAGGAGGAGGTAGCAGGAGAAGCTGAATGGAAATGAAGCCACCAGAACCCGAGTCCATTCCACACACTGCTCACTACGGCTTCTCAGGTGTGGGTGGCAGGACCTGGCACCCATCAGGGGTTTAGTACAGCAAACAAGTTACTTTATCTTCTGCGGTACTGCTCACGGACATAAGGAAGGAAGCATACAGCACATCTTAGATAAATTGTTAAAATAAAAGACTCATTTTAGCTCTCCGGACATTCCCAATGAAATGGCCAACCCTGGAAATCGGAGGGCTGTTCCCCTGACATTGCCCTTCAAGTGATGTGGATGGCTTGTCTAGTGTGTAGTGACCTTGCCATGCGTAGCCTTCTCAGTGGGACAGTGTGCTGGTGAGGAATTTACAAGAGCCATTATTAAGCCTGTGTACAGACTTGCAGAGATAGCCAGTCCTAGTGCAGAGGAGCAGCCTCTGGTTCCTCAGGGTTCTAGGCACCACAGCTGAGATGCTAGCACTCTCTGATGTCCTGTGTTCCCAGTTATGCCTCCTACCCTGCCCCCCAGGGGCACTTGGGCCATTTCCTTTCAGGTGTGGAGGGGCTCCTCTGCTGAGAGGCCACTTGCCTTTCCCTTAAATGCATCAGTTAGTTCAGGGTTCCGGGGCTGACAATGTAGATGGAAAACAAGCACCAGGCTCTGCCAGCTGACTTGTGCAGTGCTGGACCCACAGTTGGGCTTCTGGTCCTCACCAAGATGTAGGTAGAGTTTGGACTGTGACTTTTCCCAGTTACCTACCAGTTAGCTCCTATGACTAAATGCGTATGTTCCTTCCTGATTTTGTCTGCCTTTAAAAATCTCTTAGGTGGGGGGCTAAGACATTAGCCTTGTCTGTTACTTTGTAAAAAATCTCATTTTGAAACACATATAGACCACAGGAAGTTGTAAAATTAGAAGTAGAGCCCTGGGCATCTTAGGTGCAGCTTCCCCAGTGGTGGCCTCTTGCATGGAGCACACTATCATACTATGCCAGCCAGGATTAGACAGCAGTGCCATTCTGCCACCTAGCCTCAGGGCCACCCAGCTTCACCAGTTTTCACCATGTACGGCTGGGCTCTGGTTGTGTCTATTTGTGTGACTCACACCAATGTCGGTTTGCACACCCACCACCCTCAGAGATGTAGCTACTCCTACTTACCCCTCCCCTGTCCCCGGCAGTCACTGTTCCGCTCGGCCTCTATAGTGGTCTCATTTTGAGAATGTTCTGTAAGTAGAATCTTCTGTGCTTTTGAGGTAGCATTTTCATAAACACAATGCCTGCAATCTGGGTAGGTGGCTCACATATTCACTCCTTTCTGTCCCCTTGTCTGGTTTTTCCAGAGTTTAACCATTCACCCATTAGAGGATGTTGGACCATGCCCAGCTTTTGCTGTTATGAGTCAGGCTGCCAATAATATTTGTGTACACTGTTTGTGTGAACACCCTTTTCCTTTCACCTTCCTTCCTCTGTCTGTTGCCAGTTCACATGTCTCGTTAGAAACTGCCAAAGCATTTCCACTCACATCACACAAGCAGTGAGTGAGAGTGGCACCCCTGTATCCTTGCCAGCATTTGGCGTTGTTGCTGTTGTTAATTTTAGCCATTCTAACGCACACACAGTGATATGTCATTGTGGGTTTAATTTGCTTTTGCTAGTCGCCAGTGATACTGAACTTCTTTTCATGTGCTTTCCCCCTTTTTAACTTGATAATTCATTTAAAGTTTATGTGTTGGTAAGTGTCCAAGAAAATTATTTTTTAAAATAGTGAGAACTTGTACTTTCCAGTCCTTAAAACATACCATAAAACTGCGTTCCGAAGAGAATGGTCTTTTTCTAGGAGCAGGAAGCTAGACTTGCAGAACAGAAGGGAGAACCCATACATAATAGATGTGCGGGGTCAGATGTATTTCTGGTCTTGGTGGGAGGGTTGCTCATTGAATGATGATGCTACACACACTGAAGTGAAAGAAAGTAAAGTTGCACACCTGACTCGTACAGTTGAAACTGAATTGTGACCACTGTTACAGAAACTTCAAAGAAGGTTCTTGGGGACATTACTCTTTGAAAAAACTTCTTATGTGGAAAATTTCAGATCTGCAGAAAAGTAAAGAAAAGGTGTAATGAGCCCAGCTTCCTGGCTGCTGTTGTAGAAGTTTGGTGCTTTTATTCTGTTGTTCTCCTCTATGCTCTCCCATCACCCCAGCCTTCTAAAGCAGATCTGAACACCTTTATCATAGTGGGACCTCAGTGGATGTTTCTCACTGGTCAGATTTTTTAAAATTTGTTTTGTTTTGTGGCTCTTGGCATCAGACCATCTAGTAGAATTAATAGTATCTCTAGAGCCAGAAGCAAAAGGATATAGTTATGTTGTTGATATACGGAAGAATATATTATGTAAAAGTTAATAGATGAAACATAGACACAAACTGGCACTGCAGTTTAAGGACTGTAAAATTTCCAATAAAAAGGCAAGTGATTGGGAGAGCTATGCTAACCCTGCACATTAGCGCAAGACCAAATGGCCTCTGAACTGATGGATGGGTGCCTAGCCTTACCCAGAGTGGGCAGGAAATGCCGATTGACCTAAGGACCGTTTTTCAGAGGATTCCGTTTTTCAGGTTGGCTACAGTGAAATGCTGAGTGACCTTGTGCTGGTTCTTTTGTGGAGTATAAGTGTTGTGGTCTCTTTACTTGGGCATCTGTCATGTTGGTTTCGATTGAAAGTGTATCTGATATTTGATCTGTTGGGCCCTGCACTCTGTAAATGTGAGGGGTGGACGGACAGTTCACATGTCTGTAGGAGAGGTTACAGTTACCTTGTTTGTAGTGATGAAAGTGTTTAGGGTTTTAGTGTTTAGGATTTAGTTTTTTAGGGTTTAGTCTATCAGGAGAAAGACTGAATAAATTGCTTTGTGTCCATATCCATATTACATGAGCTATAGTCTATTGAAGAGCTCATGAGGTACATACCAGGTAATTCTATTGTTGATCAGAATGGGGGAGCTGGACAGATGTGTGCATTGTCACTCGTGAATGGTCAGGATTCACCAGAGCTGTAGCTCACGTGGTCCAGGACCCATCCATGAGGGTAGTAGGTCTTACTGCCCTGTTCTTGATGACCTGTCACCTGACCCTATCCTCATTCTTCTGGTCTGAACTCATGCCCTTACCTGGTGGATCACCAGGTGCTCGAGCGCCTGTTCTATACCCGTGGATTCCTGAGTGCTCACCCCTTCTACATCTGTGGACCCCCTGGTGGCCACCTTGTCCTGTGGAGGGCTCTTGAGTAGGCTGGGATCTCTAGGCGAACACAGGTGTTTCTTCTGGGGAGTCCCCCACCTTTTCTGTACAGTGAGATCCAAGTATCTTCTTCCAGGTTCTCAGCTGAGGAAACAGCCAGGGCTTGCCCTGGGCTGGCTGTGGGGGCAGGTGGGCTGGGAGGGAGCTTGATGCCAGCAGTGTACTATGAGGTGAGTGGACCGTGAGAGGTGCTTTGGGTTGGTAATGTGTTTTCCCTTTTTTTCCTAGTTTGCGTTTTAATAGAGAACTTGTCACTTTCCAGAATGCCCTTTAAAGGTGACGCTGTGATCGGTAAGTGCTTTTCTTCTCAATAATGCACAGTAGCATTTTCTTACACAACTGCTTCAAGTTACAAAGTAAAAAGTAAGCCTGTTGGGATGGGTGTAGCTGAGAGGTCAGGTCATGATGTTGGAAGGCCTTGCCCTCTGCCGGCATCTAGAGGGGCCTTTCCTATCCCTTCCTCAGCACCCCCAGCTGTGACTCAGCCTGTCCTGATGCCCCTAGGGCCAGTGTTATGACCAGTTTTCTTTCCCAGATGGACAGATGAGAGCCTGGGTGACCAGAATGCTAGAGCTGAGCTGCCCCAGGCCTGCCTCTGCCCTCCAGCCTCAAGTTTCTAATTTCCTTTTTTGGCAGTACTGGGGTTTGAACTCAGGGCTTCATGGTTGCTAGTAAGGTGCTCTACTGCTTGATCCATGTCTCCAGCCTTTTTTTGCTCTGGTTATTTTTGAGATAGGTCTTGCTTCTGGCCTGGCCAGCCTAGACTTAACGATCTTTCTAGTTACACTTCCCACTGTAGTTGGGATGACAGGCACATACTACCATTCCCAGCTTTTTCTGTTGACATGGGGTCTCGTGAACTTTTTTGCCTGGGCTGAACTGAAACCCAAGTAGCTAGTATTATAGATGTGAGCCCCTGCACCCAGTTTACTAACTGAATAGAGTAAGCATTTGTTGCCAACTCATTTGTTGGATGTGGCTAAGTTGGATGTTCACATTTATATTGGTGGACAGTGGGGGAATGAAGGAGATTTAGGAAAAGATCTCTTGAAGGTTGTAGCCACACATAATGAAAGAACAGAGCTCCCAAACATGAATCTAAATACTTGGTGCACAGGAGGTGGCATTTCCCATGCTGCCGACCCTGGCCTCTCTGGGCTCCTGTACAGCCTGCAGGGCTCACTTGGGTCTCCCCAGATTCCTCCCAGAGGTGCTATCTGCTTCACAACCTAGCAGATGTGTTTGTTGCTTTAATTGTGACTATTTCTGAGTTGGATAAACTAGCATCTTTACTTCTTTGCAGATGGCTGGCAGTGGCTGATAAATGATACTCTGAGAAGTCTCCACCTCATCTCAAGCCATTCCAGACAACAGATCAAGGTACTTTGAGCAAGACTTCCATGTTTCCCTGTGTAGCAGGCATCAGTGATGCTGGTCAGTGCTCATCTCAGGTCTGTGTGTTACCAGTCCCTTCCATGCATGACAGTCGGTAAACACCATCCTGATGTTCAGATTGACTTATATTCAGAAGCCTAAGCAGCCCTGGATGACCAGAGTGTTTAGGTTTTCTTGCTGCTGTTTTCAGCCTCCCCTCTAAACTGCCCTCTGCATAGGTTAGCTGCTCAGCATCTGGTAAGTGACATATATGATGCTTGTGTGTAGCCGAGACAGCCGAGTCCAGAATCAATCATCTTTGCAGGTGGCCAGAGCATTTGTGTCCATGTCCTGGGACTCAGGTGGCTGTGAACTAGCAGAGCTGTGACACCCAAACCATTTTATGGGCAATAAGACAGTTACTGGTGTCAGCAAGTCCTACCATCAGTGATAGTGATACTAAGTGCTTTGCTATATTTCAAGTGACATCTCTGCTGTGCATCCAGTGGATGAGGGCCCTCTCTGTGATTCTGGCCACCACCCTCTCCCTCTTTAGTTCCTTTCCCCTGGGCTTCTGTGTTGGCCTTGGCTCCCTGGCTTTGGGGTGGGAGAGTAGGAAGAATCTATGAGTCCAGTGATTGCTGGGTGCTGGCTGAATGGTCAGGAAAGGCTTGCATCAAATCAGGGTCCTCTGCAACAGCAGAGGTGGGGATCTAAGGAGATGTCTACTGTACCACCAGGACCTGTTCTGTGTGGTATGGCACCACCAGGACCAGAGTTGATCCCTCATACTCCTTGCCAAGCACACCCTCCTATTCCTGATACTCTGTAGACCCTGCTTTCTCAGCTTCCATCCCTTAACTACCTACATGGCCTACTTCATCCCTGTATTCTACTAGGAAGAAAAAATGCTTCACTTTATTATGAACTATGCCATATTAGAAGATGCGAAATTTACACTATGAGGGAGAAATAACCAAGTTGTCCTTTTAGTTTATGGGTGTAGAGAGTTTAAGGTGACCAGTGCATCGGACAGATGTCAAGGAACACATGGAAAAGGAAGAACAGTGGTAAAAGGTGAAAGACTTACACAATCTGAAGAGAAACCAGAGTATGGCAGTGACCTGATTTTTTTGGGAGGCAGTATTGGGGCCTGAATTCAGGGCCTCACACTTGCTAGGTAGGTGCTCTTACCACTTGAGCCACTCCGGCAGCTATTTTAGGTCTTGAATTTATGCCTAGGGTGACTTGGACCATGATTCTCCTATCTCCCATGTAGCTGGGATGACAGGTGTGCTTCACTACACTCAGCATTTCATTGACTGAGGTGGTTTCTTGTGAGCTTTTTGCCCAGGCTGGCTTAAAACCTCAATGCTCCTATCTCCGCCTCCTGAGCAGATAGGGTTATAGGCGTGAGCCACTGTACCCAGCTTGGTTTGTTTTAAACATAGTCTCTGTGCCTGGACTTCAGAATGACCCCACTTGTAGGCAGAGCCCTGTGCACTCATGTCCTCCCATTTCAGGACGCAGCTGTCTCTGCTCTGTCTGCTCTCTGCAAAGAATACTATAGGAAGTTGCCTGGAGAGGCAGGTCCTGCCATTGAAGGTGAGTGAGTGGGCAGGGAGAGGGTGGAGCCTGAAAGCAAGGGGCGGAGCCAGGCAGTGGAAGCCCAGCTGTCTGTGCCCCTGCTGGAGTTACTCTTTCAGGACCCAGCTGATGTGACCCCATTACACAGGACCTTCACAGGGCTCCTCCTGGGCCACATGGGTTTGGAGGCCGTCATGTCCTTGGTCTGTCTGGCCAGACTAGCTGCCCGAGTAGTGATCATCTCTGGAGAAGGAGCCTTCTCCAGGCCTTCCTGCCCTCTGTGGAAGCACTCTGTTCACTTCAGCAGTGCTTCTTAAGGTCGTTTTTGAATGAACTTTTTCCAGTGGTTTGTTCTTTGGGGATTCCTATTTTATACTTGTTGGAGCTTTTTATCTTTATACTGTTTTTCTCAATCTTTCAGCCTCTTTTTTTTCTCTTCTTTTTATTCACTTTCCATGTTTCTGCTATTGGCTTCTCCTTGCTGTCTCTTTGCTTTTCACATGCTTATTTTCTTTCTTTTTTTGTTTTTTTTTGTGGTACTGGGCTTTGAACTCAGGGCCTACACCTTGAGCCACTCCGCCAGCCCATTTTTGTAAAGATTTTTTTTCATTTTCATTTTCATTTTTTATTATTCATTTATTCACATGTGCATACATTGTTTGGGTCATTTCTCCCCCTTGGCCCCCTCCCCCCTCCTCCCCCCCTCACTTCCAGGCAGAACCTGTTCTGCCCTTATCTCTAATTTTGTTGAAGAGAAGACATAAGCTTAATAAGGAAGACAAAGCGTTTTTGCTAGTTGAGTTAAAGATAGTTATACAGAGAGATTCCTAGCATTGTTTCCATGTACAAATGTATTACAACCCATGTTGATTCATCTGTAACTGATCTTCACAATGGTTTCTGATCCCCTTCTCATGTTGACCTCTGTCGCTTTAAGTTTTCTGTATTAGTTCCTCTGCAGTGGGGACATCAAACGCTTTCATGTTTTGGGTTTCCTACCTATTCCCATATCTCCCGTATGTGCTCTCTCCTTGTCATGTGATCCAAGTCCAACCACATTGCTGCATTTGCCCTAGATCTAAAGTCTGCATATGAGGGAGAACATATGATTTTTGGTCTTCTGAGCCTGGCTAACCTCACTCAGAATGTTGTTCTCCAGTTCCTTCCATTTACTTGCAAATGATATGATTTCATTCTTCTTCATGGCTGAGTAAAGTTCCATTGTGTATAAATACCAAATTTTCTTGCTCCATTCATCAGTGGTGGGGCATCTTGACTGTTTCCATAACTTGGCTATTGTGCATAGTGCTGCAATAAACATGGGTGTGCAGGTGCCTCTGGAGTAATCTGTGTTGTATTTCTTTGGGTATTTCCCCAGGAGTGGGATTGCTGGATCATATGGCAGATCTATGTTTAGATTTTTAAGATGCCTCCAAATATTTTTCCAGAGTGGTTTCACCAGCTTGCATTCCCATCAGCAGTGTACGAGGGTTCCTTTTTCCCCTACATGCTCGCCAACACATGATGTTGGTGGTGTTTTTGATGATGGCTATTCTAACGGGGTTGAGGTGGAATTTTAGTGTGGTTTTGATTCACATTTCCTTTATGGCTAGAGATGGTGAGCATTTTTTCATGTGTTTTTTGGTCATTTGAATTTCTTCTTTTGAGAAAGTTCTGTCTAGTTCAGTTGCCCATTTCTTAATTTGTTCATTGATTTTAGGAGAGTTTAGTTTCTTAAATTCCCTGTATATTCTGGTTATCAGTCCTTTGATGTATAGATGGCAAATATTTTCTGTTACTCTGTAAAGACAGGATCTCATGAACTATTTGCCTGTGGCTGGTTTTGAACCGCAATCCTCCTGATCTCTGCCTCCTGAGTAGCTAGGCTTACAGGCGTGAGCCACCAGTGCCTGGCTCCATTTTCATGTTCATGATGACTTTCCTTACTTTCCTGGGTCCTGTCAGGTCAGTGCGGTCTTGCTGTAGCCTCCTCCCTGGGCATTTGTTCATGCTGGTCCTTCACTATGTCTGTGTTCTATGGTGAAACGTGTTTCAGTTCCTCACACACACCGTGACAACATTGCATCAACATGTCTTCTTCACATGCTGACACATTTCTCTCTCTATGCTGAGGCTACTCATCCTGTAGGATCCAGTCTGCTTCGTAAGAAACATGGTGCTCATGTGCTCTTTTGGTCTGTGGTGTTTCTTCATATTATGTTGGAGGACATGCATTATGACTACATTGGAAGTATCTGAAACACTATTCAAGTTATTGTAAGTGTGTAAAAAAAAATCGTGTGCAGTAGTGTGAACCCACTTTCTGTGATTTTATAAAAATGAGCCAAACTAGTGCTGCAAGCCAATTTTGTATTTAGTCTATTGTTAGAAAGTGGAACAACGTCTTCGTAAACAGCTTTCTGAAGATGTGAAGATGATGGCTAACATTAGTTCATGGCAGTGTGTTTAAGTCATATTTCCGCTGCATTTCTGCCCTGTTGTCTGAGGAGGGATGGAGTAGTGCTGGGTTCAGTGAGGCATCACACAGCCTGCTCTGTTGGAACTGAACAGTGGTGACAGATGGTGTGTGTTGCCGGTGCTGGCCTCCCTGCACCTGTCTGGGCTACATTTTTTAAAGTGCAGAGCTGTTTTCCCACTTTTCTTAATGGTTCCTCACCCTGACCTGCTTGAGCTCCCAGTGTCCCCCAGTTGTTCCCTCACTTTTCCAAGCCCCTGGTGCCCCTCAGTTCTGCCTCTCCTCTGTTCCTGTCACAGTGCCTGTCATCCATCACTGTGTTTCTTCTTGGGCTGCTGTGTTCACAAGCCCCATGCTCTCACCCAGCAGCTCTTGCTGTGCTCTGCAAATCTTCCTGGCCCACCTCAGTGTGGAGTAGCATGGAGCAGTGCCCCCACCAGGATGTGCTCACATCATAGTGTCTGGCTTGGAACTGCGCTGGCTCTGTCTGTGACAGCATTATTTTCACAATCATCCTACTGTTCATAGAGAACAAGGTCCAGATACCAGTATGCTCACGATTCTTGTAGCCCTCTGGGATTTGATTGCCTAAGAATGAAACCAGGTGGTTACAACTGCTTATGAGAACCTTAAGACCACCGTACACAAGTCCTCATGTTTGCGCTGGTTACCATTTCTGAGGAGCATGACAGGCAGTGGGGCGCTCTCTTCACGTCCTTCCCTCTTTCCAGAGGAGCTGATCCCGAGATACCTTGCCGAGCTCCAGAGCCCAGAGGCGATGACTCGCTGTGGCTTCTCATCAGCCCTAGGCACCCTCCCAGACTTCCTTCTGAGGGGCCGCTTGCAGCAGGTGAGCACAGGTGTGGTGGATGGCAGAACAGGTTGTGGTGTGGGATGGACATGCATCTGACTACTAACCAATCCTGACATGGTGTGCATGGCCACGGGAAGGGAGTGGCAGCCTGGACTCCAGGGTAATGGCTGATCTTGTGCAGGACAAATCTCAGATTGCTGCACTGAGGTCTGAAGGAGGGGAGGGCATTGTTGGTGGAAGTGGCAGGTGTCTCCGTGAGAGCATATTTGCTGCCCTACACAGTAGCCTGGCTGCTGGAGCCAGGCTGGTATGGGCAGTGGCCCACTGGCCTTCTGGGTCCCAGCCAAGGTGTGAGAAGGGCCTCATATGGCAGTGGCAGCTGAGTGGAGGAGAGGGCCAAGCTCTGCTATGTTAGTGCACTGGGCCGAAGACCCTGGACATTTGTGGGCTCCATGCTCCTTGTCCCTGCCTGCTGAGGAGCTTGTTCTGCAGGGTCGAGGCACTGGGGTTCCTCACATTGCCTATGCCTGGGCTGCTGTCCAGCCTTTACCCAAGACAGTGAGACCCCTTCACCTCTGAGTCTCACTTTTTCATACTGCCCCAGTGCTGGCCATTCCTTCTCAGTATCCCGTGTTTGCCTGACCTTGGCTTGTGTCAGGAGTGATCCTGTCCACTCATCTCCACACAGGCCTTGTCCTGTGCTCCCTGAGACAGTCTCAGTGATGGCTGTGCATCCAGCTTGGCTCTGGAGCCTCAGCTCCTTCTCCCCGCCATCCTGTCTCAGGCCCCTAAGCTCTTGTACTTCCCTCTCCTGCTGAAACACAGGTTCAGTTCTGCCAACCCATGTTGCAGGCATCCCTGATTTTGTCTAGGCCACTGTCCACCTGAGTCAGGACTATGGTGGGAACAAGCTTTCGACACATTCACTCCTGAGTAACCTTGGAGCCCTCACCTCCTGTGGAATCAGAGATCATATAAGCTTTCCACAGTGTGTTGGGTGGCCTGTCCAGTTGTGGATGGACAGGCCCTGTGTGGCTGCTGCACTGTCAAAGCCCTTACCTGGGGGGTTTGTCCTCAAGGACGTGGATAAACATGAAGCAGCTTTTAGAAAAGACCTATCATTTCAAGAAGTATCAGCCCAGTTAGAGGAGCCAGAGGGCCGTCCCTCTCCTGTCCCAGGTCTGAGCAGAGTCAGAGGGAGCCCTCACCTTATACTGCTACATCCTGTGCCCCAGGGCCGCATCTCCACCTGCGACAGAAGTGCGTTTACAGGCAAGTGTGGTGGTGCACGCCTGTACTCCCAGCACTGGGGAGGCTGAGGCAGGACGATCATGAGTTTGAGACCACCCTGGATTATGTTGCAAGACCCTGCCTCAAAAAAAAAAAAAAAAAGATGAAAAAGGTGTTTGCTTTGTAGCTAATGCTTCTTTTGGGGACTGTTGCCCTCAGGTCCTCACAGGTCTGATAGCAGTCACCCGCATTTCTCCCAAGGATGTGAGCTTTGCTGAAGCTCGGAGGGACGGCATGAGGGCGATCTCCAGGTGAGCCTCCAACCAGCAGGAGTGGCGAGCCTGCCATGGGCTGTGGCACCGGGATGGAGCCAGCATATAGAGGCACATTGTTGCCTCTTGTAGTTTCTTCCCTTTCAGAGGGTGACAGGGTACATCTTTGGCCTGGGGAGGCCTGGTGACAGTGTTGTCACAGTGATAACAAATATTAAATCTGTCATGCAGCTGTGTCTTCACTGTGGGAACCACTTTAAGAACTGGGAATGGGCATAGGGACTGGAGAGCTTGCTCAGCGTGCGTGTCAGGTCCTGCAGTCCATTCCCAGTACTGCACAAAACAAAGCAAAACTGGGGGAATGTGCCTCAACTCAAGGCTGGCAAAGCCACAGTGCCTGTAGCTGTGGAGTGACCTTGCCTGTGGACACAGCCTACAGGGCTGTACCTGCCTCTCCCTCCTGCTCCACAGCTCTGTGAGTCAAGTCCCTCCAGCTTCTTGTAGCAGCACTAACCGCCTTGTGGGGGGAAAGGGAGGAGGACTGGCCACCTTACAGGCAGAGCCCCGTTCCTACCCATGTGTGAAGGTGCTCCGGGTATCTTCCTCTGCCCCTGAGGCTCCTGGTCTCTCCTGAGTGTAACTCTTGGGAAGATGTATCAGGCCACTGCAATGTGCAGGACAGGATCACAGACATTCATCAGTATACATTTTGCACATTTTTTTTTTTTTCATATGTGCATACAAGGCTTGGTTCATTTCTCTCCCCTGCCCCCACCCCCTCCCTTACCACCCACTCCGCCCCCTCCCTCTCCCCCCCCCAATACCCAGCAGAAACTATTTTGCCCTTATTTCTAATTTTGTTGTAGAGAGATTATAAGCAATAATAGGAAGGAACAAGGGTTTTTGCTGGTTGAGATAAGGATAGCTATACAGGGCATTGACTCACATTGATTTCCTGTGCGTGGGTGTTACCTTCTAGGTTAATTCTTTTTGATCTAACCTTTTCTCTAGTACCTGTTCCCCTTTTCCTATTGGCCTCAGTTTTTGCACATTTTAATTTTAGGATTTGTCAGACTGTCGGTGTGAAAGAAGATGGGACCCCAGATGAAGCCATGTGTAGAGAGAATATTTCTGAGGTTTATGCTGCGCTGCTGGATGGCATGGATGACTACACCACAGACAGCAGAGGGGACGTGGGGTCCTGGTAAGGGTAGCGTCTGCATTCCGTGGTCTCTGCTGCCTAGTGAGGGGCCCTGAGGTGTGAGTTGCACTTTGTGCCATTCCTCCCATGACACACGACAACGACAAGGATGATGACAATGGGGACAGACTTCCTGCCCACAGCCACAGTGTGATTCCCATTGTGCTCAGCTCTGCAGTGCCCTCTGCGGACTGCTTTCCTGCTTCTGGTTCCTCTCATTCACCTTCTCCTCTTTACTGACAAAGAAGTTAGCTTCATGAAATGCAGTGTTATTGTGAGTTGCCTCTCCCATTTGTCACAACTAAGTTCATCTCTGATGAGGCTTCTTGTGAGACTGTGTAGGGGCAGGAGGACCACAGGGCACTGAGAATGGCTGTGGTGCTGCGTCTCAGGAAGAAGTTGGTGCTTTGGAGAAACTCTGCTCTGGATGGAGGGTTGGGAATCAGGTCCTGAAATGACAGGCGTTTGCTCTGAAGTCCTGACTGGGTAATTATGAGCCCATGTGCATCGGTTCTGCCAGGCCCAGGTATTCATAGCCATGCAAGTCTGCCCAATGCCCTTTCCTGCTGCTCTAGGGGAGGCATCTCCTTACCAGGTTGCAAAAGTATCTGCTGTGTGCTGCAAATGAGAGGACAGCTGCCACTGTCCACCCTGTCTTCATGCTCTCTCTCAGGAGACTGAGCTGTGGCTGACTGCGGTCAAGCAGTGTAGAGGGGTGTTGAGTGCTTTTATAGGATACTAGGGAAGAAGATGGCTTTATGGATATGGAAGCTGAATAGAGGAGTGAGCATGTCACCCATGTTGGGTTGTGGGGGGCTGTATTTCCTTTGTTTTTTGTTTTTTTTTTTTGGTGGTACTGGGGGTTGAATTTGGGCTGTGTGCTTGCTGATATTCGTTATTTTTGAGACAGGGCTTCACTTTATGCTCCTGCTGGCCTAGACCATGATCCTATTTGTTGTGCTTCCCCACATAGCTGGGATGGCAGGCATGCACCATTATTCCTAGCCTTTTGTTTGAGATGGAGTCTCCTGAGCTTTTTGCCTGGACTGCCCTTGAACGCAGTCCTCCCAGGTAGCTGAGATTATAGGCTTGAGCTACCATGCTCAGCTTGGGCTGCATTTCTTTACATGACTTTTCTGCCCTGTCATCTCACCCTGCTCTCATTCTGGAAATCCAGGTCCTGAAGCTCTGTTAATTTTGTTCAGTGTTTTTGATTTTCTTGTTTGGTTGTGTAAATTCTGCTCATCTATGTTCTGGCTTCACTGTGGCTGACCTTGGTCTCATCTGACTTTGGGTCATTCCAGACTTGGGACAACAGAGGCTTCCAAGGGCCGTGTCCCCATTTCCTGCCTTGCTCCACTTCTTGCAGCATGGCTGTGGTTCCCCCAGCAGCAGGGATCCCACTGGGCTGTTGTGTGGCCTCTCCTTTCGTGTCTCCTGGCTGCTGTCTGAACTCAAAGACTTCTTGTCCCTGATGACAGTCACCTTTCCTTGGTGGGGACACGTTGGGCTCAGCTGTCTTTCTGGTCATGATGTGACTTAAATACAGTGCCCAGGGCATCACGTCCTGGTGTAACTCTTGCAGATCTTGTCACTGGCTCCGCAGCCTGGACTGGCACAGAGGGTGAGCCCTGCCCACCTGTACTCATTGCTGGTGCCCATGACAGAGATGGGGCAGGCTCCTGTGCAGGCCTTTGCTTCCTTCTCTGAGGTTCCTACACTCTTGGTTCCCTGGTTGTTGTGTGTTTCAATGGACTGGCTGCTGTGGCTGCCCTCAGGACAAAGCAGAAGGACTGGTGCTAGTACTGCTGGCCTGGTCCCCGGGCTTCGCCCACCATGGTGTTGTCTTCACGATGTCTGCAGAGGGTGACCAGTACCCGTGTCCCCTGCAATGAAGGCTCAGTGTCAGGTTTTTACTTTTGAATTCAGTGGTGTCTGAACCTTTCTTTCCAATTCTCTTACAACTGAAATTCTTCACCCTTTTCTTTTTTCTTCAATATATGCTTCAGATATGGTTATTTTAAGGGCTCTGAATAAACTGATGTCTGTGTCATCCACAGGTCTTCCATCTCCCCGTTGCTATTTCCGTATTTCTTACTTGTTATGCATTCCTCATAATTTTTAGCTTAATTCTGAGAGCTGTATTTAAGTCAGTGGGCTCTGTGGCTGTCAGGCTGGGTGTGGACTAGGCTCATCCCAGTGCCCTCGCTCCCAGGGCACAGCTTGAGATGCATGGGCACAGTGGAGTCTAGGGTGTGTGGCCTTTGCCCATACATTCCTAGGAGGGGCTTCTGGGGCTTAGGGCTCCACATACAGGTCCTCTGACCTCCATTTTTTTTTTTTTTTGAAGTTTTGAGCTCAGAGCCTTGCATTTGCTTAGGCAGATACTCTACCTGATGACACCCCAGGCATCCTCAGCTGAGTTCTGCTGTGCTGTTTGTTGTCCTGTGCCCTGTTCTCAGCTGTGGCTGAGAGTGAGGAAAATATGCATATCCTGCTCCTTGGTTCCCACATGCGCTCTGCAGATGTATACCCAGGTCCCAGTGTGTGTCCCATGGAGGTTATGGGTGATTCAGGAATCCCCCATGGCCCTCAGGCTTTAGATCTTACTTTTCCTGACTCTAGTTAGTGCACTTGTGTCCCAAGTTCATAAAACGTTTTTTGTTAGTCCAGCAAGTGCTTGATTTTCTTTACTATGAACTAGTGGCTCCATGCAATGGGAGAGAAGGTTCTGATGCTTGGGAAGGAAGCTGAGTTTTTGACTCTCCAGGAATCTGATCAGTGAGAACCAGGCAGCCCAAGCCTTCTGCAGTTTGATGCTGCAGGGCTGTGGTTTGCAAGGGACAGGCCATGGGAAGCCTGTGTACGCACACGTCACAGGCTTTGTTGGGACTTGTCCAGTCTGTCTCCAGGTGTTAAACATGAAACCTCTTGCTTGACATAGTGTGGGAGACAGTACTCATCCCTCGGTGAAGAGCTGCCAGCTGCCTTATATTGGGTTTCGCTGACGTTACCCACTGAAGTGGGATTTCTGTAATCTCTGAAACTCACTGTGTTTGCCTGCAGATCAGAGCCTGAGTGTGGCCGGCAGGTCTCCTGCCACAGTGCATAGGGACCTCTGGTGGTCCTCACTCCCCAGGGAAGAGCACCACAAGACCTGCTTTTAGGGTCTGTGCTTGCAGGACCTAAAGAGTGTGGTTGGCGTGAGTCCTGGGATCCCTGTCCGACACTGACCTTCCCATGTCTCCTTGTCCTACAGTGTCCGTGAGGCCGCCATGACCAGCCTGATGGACCTGACACTTTTGTTGGCACAGACGCAGCCTACGTTGATTGCAGCCCCTGTGTGAGTGCTGAGGGAGGCCAGCTGGGACAATCCCAGGGGCCTGTGCCTTCTCCTGACACCACACTCAAGTCCTGACCCACACAGCCTGCAGCTGTCCAGAGCCCTCCCTCTACCCCCGGACAAGGCTCTGAGCCTCCCTCTCACCTGCCTGGGCCTCCTTTGGGCCTGGGCCTGTTAGACAGCCAGCTTCAGAACAGGGAAGCCTCTGGGCTCAGAGACCCCACATTTGAGGCACCTGACAGGATGGGCCACCATCACTTGGTCAGTCCTTGGACCTGGGGTCCTTGCTGTGAGTCTGGGCCTCCTCTGCCACCTTGCAGAGGCTTCAGAGTCTGCCATCAGGTTCCTAGCTTGTGGCAGTTCTTGACCTCTTGTCCCTGTGCCTCTCCCTTCCCCCTGCTGTTCCCATCCATCCCTTTCTCCTGCCTTATCTCCCCTCTCTTCCCATCTCAGCCTGGCCTCTCCTCACCCTATCCTTCTCTGTCTACCATCCACTCCTGCCATGCTGTTGGTTCTCATCGCTTCCCTTGCAAGACCTCAGCAACATTCGGTGCATCTGCCATGTGGCTCCAGGATGTAGTGATGGCAGAGTGTGGTCTGCTCTGAGGTGGCCACAGTAGCCATGTGTGGGGTGGGACTGACACCCTCCTTGGCTCGCAGGTGTGAGCGCATCATGTGCTGTGTGGCTCAGCAAGCAAGCGAGAAGATAGACCGGATCCGCGCCCATGCCGCCCATGTGTTCCTGACCCTCCTGCACTTCGACAGCCCTCCCATTCCCCATGTGCCCCACCGGGGAGAGCTGGAAAAGCTGTTTCCCAGGTACTGTTGGGGTGTGGGCCCCTGTGGCTCCTCTGAGTGGGGCCTTGATGAACTCACTCTCTTGCAGGTCCGACATGGCCTCTGTGGACTGGAAGGCGGCTTCCCAGGCCTTCCCTCTCATCACCCAGCTCCTGGGGCTGCCTACTTACCGCTACTATGTCCTACTAGGGCTGGCTGTATCTGTAGGTGGCTTGACCGCCTCAACGGTGAGAAGTGGACAGGGGTGTGACAGCGCCTTCCTCCTGGGGCCAGACCTGCTGGATCTCATGTGGGAGGGCTGGGCCTTGGGGCCAGAGCCTGTCTTCCCTTCTGTCGGCTTCTCCCTCCTCTGTCATTTCCGCTCTTCTTTCCCTCTCACCACCCTCCATCTCATTTGGTTGGAGTCAGCAGTTCAGCTCCTTGCCCATGTCCTGGGGGACCAAGGGCAGGACTCTGGAGAGCTGCTGTCATGTGGCTGAGCCTGGTGAAGGTGACTCCACATTTTTCAGTGGAAGGGGGTGGGGCTCTTTTGATATTGGTACCGCTGCCCTTGGCCCCAACAGGGTGTCTGGTCTTTCTACAGCCTTGATGCCAGACATGTCTGAGGATCAGGACATCTGATGAGTTTGGACTGTTTCATAAAACATTTAAATTCTGTTCTTACTGTAAATGAATACTTGCGTTTTCTATTACGTTTTTAGCTCCTACTGTATGAGGGGCATTATATTTTCTTAAGCTTTTCTCTTGGCAATTAGAAACAAACACAAAAGTTCAGATAATTGTGTAACAGCTTCCATGTACCAATGCCTGGCTGGTTTCACTCCATTCCTGCTGCATGACACCAGCACTGATGCACCTTGCTAGTTTCTTACCAGAGAAGACTTTGAACTAATTCCAGAAATTGTATGCTTCACTGCATAAGTTCCTCCCCCCGCCCCACCGTATCTCTCAAAAGGTGAAGACCTGTCACACACTGTGGTCACATTTCAGATGATCAGGCTCAGGTCCCTCAACCTTCCCAGACTCACCTATGTCAGAGTCAGAGAGGCCCTGCCATGCTGGGTGAATCACCTCAGACATGGACAGCACCTCTCTTCTGTCTCCCTGCACTGATTTTCAGCTGTTCTTTGAAGAATTGCTTGTCTGGTGTTTCACCCTTTCAGTTTAGCTCATGTATCCTCAGGATGGGGTAACGTGTCTCCATGCCCAGTCCAGCCCCCCGATGGCATGAGGGCCTGCTTGTGACCCCTGTGCCTCCTTGTCTCCTACCTTCTCTGTGGTGTTAGTCTGGGCTTAGCAAGTGGGCGTCTTGTGCTCTTGGTTCTCTGTCCTCTCTGCTTAGAGGCACAGTCCTGTGCTTGGCCCCCTCACTGTCCCCATAGTCTAGTCTCAGGGTCTTTGATCCCTGCGTACAGTGGTGTAGTCTTATCCAGGTTCTGTGCTGAGCTGTGGAACTTGTGATGCTGGTGCCCTGGTGTTACATAGTGGCCCCACAGTTGTGTCCTGGGCAAAGTGTGACTGTGTTGGGCTCAGGCTGCACTGCTGCTTTCTGGGGTTCTGTCCCAATGCACATGCTGCCACAGCAGCTGAGCACCTGCAGGATGCTTGGGACTTAGTAGGTCAGAGTTGTCTCCATTTGGCAGTGACATTTTTCACTATAGTCAGCCTCAGGGTAGTGTGTGTGTGTGGGAAACTGGCTGCCTCACAAAGCTACTTTTTGGTGTCACAGATCAGGCATTCCACGCAGAGCCTCTTTGAGTATGTGAAGGGAATTCAGAGTGATCCGCAGGCCCTGGGGAACTTCAGTGAGACCCTTCTGCAGGTCTTTGAGGACAACCTCTTGAACGACAGGTGAGTAGCACCTCTCTCCTCTCTTTCCAGGACACACATTAATTCCAAGTAGCAGGGTGGAGCGGGTTTACTGCTTGGGCCCCTGAGTCCTGGCCGGTACCATTTCTGAGGCCTCTCCCTGCCAGCCCTTGGACAGGGAATGACTGTGTGCACAGGAAGGAGATGCCACAGGCGAACCCTAAGTGAAGTGAAGGTGGCCTCTGTCTAGGAGGTTGGATGTCTTCCTGAGAAGTTAGTACCTGCTTTCTAGAAATCTTTGGCTTCAGGATTTTGGTAACTGCTTTTATGTGGAGGTGGAGACTATGGGCTTTGTCCTTCAATTGAGACTGTTCTCCTGTGACTCTCTGGGAATATGCAAATGACAGGAACTCTGGCTGATGTGCCTTTCATGGGGCCTTATCAGCCACCTGGCCAAGGGAAGATTAGTTTAGCCATCAGCAACCAGGACCTCTCTTTAGTCATCTTTTCTTATCTGTTCATAAGCACCACTGTTGATGTATTAAACATAAGAAATCACATATGAACACACGTGAAGCATGTAGTGTGGTGTGCTGGGGTGTGTACCTGGAGGTCTCCTCCCACCCCCCGGAGTCCTCCCTAACACCCACCCCAGCACCCACTGATTTGCCATGGCAGAGACTGAGTTTGCATTTTGTGGAATTTTATGTAGATGGAGCCAGGCAGTGTGTTCTCAGGGCTCATGTCAGTTAGCGTAGTCAGTTTGCTGGCCTGTGCCTCTTGTTGCAGTTGAGCCTATTGTAGCTGGGAATGGACTCCTCTGTCTGGGTTTCGGAGCCATCTGCATCTGGGCCTTATAGACAGCCTCAGTGGAAACACAGGGACTTGTCTGGATGCATGTTCCCTCTTCTCAGGTAAACACTGAGCAGTAGAAAGGGCTAGGTTACATGTTAGTGAGTGAGTGTTTTGTGCTGCCATGGTAGCACCATGAGTTCCAGCTGCTCCATGCCCTGCCCAGCACTGCTGTGGTCAGCCTCTCAGGTGGCCATCTTGTTGGGTGCTTAGTGTATCTGTTTGTACTCCTGGTGCCTGAGGTGCAAGCCATCTCCACATGCACCTGTCCTCTATGGGGAAGGGTCTGGACACTGCGGATGCATGCTTATTTTAATTTTGAACATGGATGTCTGGTTGTTCAGCACCATTTGTTGGACTGTCCACGTGTTGCTTTTGCATCTTGTCAAACCTGATGTTGGACTCAATGCCTAGCCGTCTGTGCATCTCTGCAGCAGGAGCCCGTTCTGACCACCAGCTGCTATGTAGCAACTGAGATGAGCACTGTCAGCTCCCACTCTGTCCTTACTGTCCACGGTCATGCTGGCATTTCCTTGGTGTTTCTGTATAAGTTCTAACACCGGCTTGTCCGTTTCCAGTGTCTTGTGCCAGGGTTTGGTCTGGGACTGTCTCACTTCCAATCCATCTGGAAAGTCGACTTTGTAGGAAGGAGCCATTCTCCTCCAGCAGCTGTGCCTGCCATTTACCTGGGTGCTTGGTGTTGGTCTCAAGGCTCACTCATCCTTTCCTCTCAGGGTGTCCGTGTCATTGCTGAAGATGCTGAACCAGCTGCTGGCCAACGGGTGCTTCGACATCTTCACCACTGAGGAGAAGTGAGTATTTGTTCAGGGCTTCCTGTCTGTGGAGCTTGGCACATTTTATTTCATTTATTTTTTGACATGGGGTCTTGCTGAGTTGCCCAGGCTGGTGCTGAACTCGGGATGCTCCTGCCTTAGCCTCTCAAGTGGCTGGGACGGAGGATGTGCATCACTATGCTTGGTCAGCTCACATTTTAAAGACACAGCACTCAGATCAGGAGCTCAGGATCCAGAGATGACTTTTCAGGGCAAACCTAGTCAGCAGGCATTGGTGGGTGGGGTGAGGTGGGGAGGCACCTCATGTCCAGGTGGGAAGATAGACCTGAGAAGATGAGGTGTCCCCTGTGTCAGGGCTGCTCTGGAAGCTGCTAGAGCCTGAGAGGTGAGAAAGGGCATGGCTGGATGGTGGAGGGGAATGGGGCAGCAGAGCAGGGGGCCGTGAGGCAACAGGGCCCAGGTGCAGTGCCTGTGCCCACCGCAGGTGAACTGAGGCTGGTGCAGCCCAGGGCATGGGATGGGTGCTCCTCCTGTACATGAGCAGTCCCCACCACCAGGTGACATCCCTGAGCTCTGTGACAGTCTGGTGCTGGGCCAGCTTCATGAGTTAATGAGCCAACGTGGGCATGTTTTCTTGCTGCTTTGAAAACCTGGTGAATTCTATGCGGTTGGGCTGGGGACTTCCATATTTCATGAGGACTCTTGAGCATCTATGGGGACAGTTACCTGGAAACAGTCTGACCTTTTTAGAGCTTACTTTTTAAACTGTTGAGGGATTCAGACAGCTGGGTTCTTAGGTTGATTTTTCTCCCCAACCCCCCTAGACTCTACTTACTGCCATTTGGTTTCTGAGCTTTCTGTACCAGCTAGGGGGGAGCTATGTTGGAGCTTTCCTGTCATCTTTTTTGGGTGGTTCTTTCCCTGGCTTTGGGCAGTGTCCTTGTGCTCACATGCTAACCAGGACTTGGGTGAACCCTCAAGGCCCAGGTGCCCCCGGCCTTCATTGCTCTGCCTTGAGAACCTGTATATGCTGCACACCCAGCCGGGGCTGTAGGAGGCATGGCGGCTGCAGGCTCGCCTTGCTGGTTCATGAGTTTCGTTCCGTTTTTGACTATTTTGGGTGAAAAAGGATCTGTTTTTGCGAGATGCCTTGGATGCTCCCCTCTGAATTGTTAGTGTGGCCCACTGATTACCTCATATCTGCTGTTGGAACCACTTCCGCATTCAGGCACACCCAGCTTGGTTGGTGGATGCTAACCCTTTCCCATTCTGCATGATCTGGCAAATACCCTGCCTAAGAGCTTAACACGTGTTTTCTTGGTTTAAAAATTTCAGAATACATTTTGTAAAAAGTAAAAAGAGCTATAGCTCTTTTTATTTCTCTTAATATCTTGTCAATTTTTGCTTTATGGGTTTAGAAACTGTATTTTTGGTGCATACAGATCTAGAGTGGGATATTAATTTTCAAATGGCCCTTTCCACGCTGGAGAAATACTTTGTTTACACACTCCTTTGTCTTATCTTGCTTATTCTGACTGTACACTTTTACTTACATTCAGTTATTAGCAGCGTATGTAGTTTTGTGGAAATTAATCTGACAAGCTTTATCTTTAACTGGGTCCTTTAATCTTCTTGGTTTTAAATTTGCCACTTAGATATATTTTTCTGTTTGTTCTGCATTCCCTCTCTCCCTCTGCCACTTTCTATTTGATGAGTGGAATCATTTTTATCATTCCATTTTCCTTGTGTATCTGTTTGGGGCTTTTCACTCTTTTTCTGTGTTCTTAGTGGTTATCCTAGGAATTAAAACTTTTAGCACATCCTTGACTTACCAAATTCTTATTTTTAATTCTGCCTTTCTTGGACAATGCCAAGGATATTAGAACATGTGAGTTTGACTCCCCTCTGAGTTACATATTATTTCCATTTATTCTTCTCTGTTTATTTTGAATCATCTGTGCCCCTCCCCCCACCGTTTTTTTTTTTTTTTTTGGTACTGGGATTAAACCCAGGACCTTGAGCACTCTACCCCTTGAGCTATGCCCCCAAGCCCAAATTATCTACATTTTGTTACCTTTGTCTCATTGCTGTATTTTAAGGTTTCCCCATCATCTTCTTTCTCCCAGAAAGGACCCCTGGTAAGACCTGCTGGTGGTGATGCTTGCTGGCTTTACCTAAAAGCTGTTTGCAGAGGACACTTGTGCCATGTGGCTGAGCTTTGAGTCCTCAGAGCACCACTGGTGTGTGAATTCACAGGGTCTTTGTGGACCAGGGAGCTGTGGTAGACCTGGAAGGTCCCTGACAGAGCCACATGGAAACAGAGAGATAGCAGAATCAGATGTTTGTGTTCTCAAGAGCGGCCACTGGTGGCTATGCTGAGCCCTCATGCAGGCTGGGGACCACAGCCCTCACCAACACCATGGTCACTTGGTCTCCAACAAGCATTTTAGGAAGCTAGAGAGATGCTGGAGGGAGCCAGGTCAGAGAAGGGTGGGGACCTCTGAGTGTCCTGGGGCAAGGCCACCTTTGCCACGTCATCCAGGGGACAGCAGTGTTCTCCTCAGATGGGTTGGCCTTGGAGCTATTGTCACGGACCAACCCAGAAGTACAGCAGTTCTCAGGTCACTGGGAGAGGTGAAGGTAGAGGGGCTAGCTAAGGCTCAGTTGTCCTCCTTCCTGTGACCTGGGCCACCACATGGTCTCACTCAATGCCACGGCACCTGTTGGGTGGGGTCTCTTCTGTTGAGGTCAGTCACTTGGCCCTGTGGTCACCTGGTGATGGCAGCTAATGTGATGCTGTGTGCTGTGGAAGCTCTACTCTAGAACAATGTACTTTTCTTCCAGCCACCACTTTTGTGTGAAGCTGCTTGAGCTTTGTAAGGAAGAAATCAAGAAGTCAAAAGACATCCAGAAACTTCTGTCAAGCATCTCAGTGTGAGTTTTAAGTGCCTCTGGCCTGAGCAGCCAATGAAAGGGATTTGGTGGCTCCAGGTGGGAGGTGTAGTTCTAATCACAAAACTGTCTAAGATCACATGTTCTAATGTCTATTTAAGACAATGGTAACAAAAGGTAAGAATACCCCAGGGGTGCTATCAGCAGTGGCAACTAAAGAGGGTACCGCCAGAAGTGGCCAGATTGCAATCCCTCCCTGTGGGCAGGGGAAGTCATGACAGGAAGGGGGAGTGTGCATCCAGCTGCCATCCTTATTTGAGGCAAATGCAGTTCTCTTGACACACACTGATTGTCTCAGGTACCTCAATCTTCAGAACTCAGGTGGATGGTCCCCCAGGACATACTGGCCTTTGGTCAGACACCTTTATGGGCCCACAGACACCTAAGGGCCAGGGATCATTGTGGGAAGTTGGGCACCTTGCTGATCTTTGAGGATATCAAAGATCAGAGCCTGCTTTCACTGTGTGATACTCACATACCAGCACACATTGCACAGGTGTGCACAGAGGCACATGCACACGCTAGTACACAATGCATAGATGTGCACATGCAGGCCCACAAACGCACAGGTGTGCACACAGGCACACATAGTGCTTTGGGCCTGTTGCCGTGCTCTTTCCAGATCGCCTGTGGGCCTCAGCTTCCCAGCTGGCTGAAAAATCCTTGGGTGGCTAGCTGTGCAGTACAGCCTCACGTCACCCTGCTGGCTTTCCTGCAGGCTCTGTGGGATGGTGCAGTTCTGCGGTGACGTGAGGAAGAAGGTCCTCCTGCAGCTATTCCTCCTCCTCTGCCACTCGTTCCCAGTGGTGAGTGTCTGCCTAGGACCCAGGTCCACACCAGCAGGCCTGCTCAGATGAACACTGTGTAGGTGCACCTTTAGAAGTCCAGGCAGAATGGCATGACAGGCTAGGGAGAAGGGTTCTAGGTGTGAGGCAACCTGGGTCCTAGGTTAGTTTGCCTGTTAGTATGGACCAGAACATGGGCATCTGCCCACAGTTGCTGGCACTGAGCAAGGTGGTGGGGGAGGCCCTGCCAGCCCAGCTCTAGGACTCTAGGTCTCGGGCTGAAGGAACTCACCCACCCCAGGGACAGAGCTCTGCACCAGCTAGGGTTATATTTCCTAGCACTTCTTTTCCTAAAGAGCTCCTTAAATGACCAAAGGTGAGGACTTCATAAAAGGTGAAAGTAATTTTCATGAAGTACAGTGGTTTTTGAGGTGGAGTGGTAGGACCCACAGCTGATCCAGCTTGGAACCATCAGAAATGCAAACTCTCAGGGGCAAGTAAAGGGATTCTGAGACCCCATAAAGCATGGTATCACAGGACACAGAGAAAGAAAGTGGGCGAGCCAGCTTTCCTGGTGGAATGACCCAGCCTGCGGGAGTCCCCATCTTGCTCTCTAACAAGGGTTGTGGGGCCAGCAGAAGGTCTTCTTCTTTGCTACACACTCCATGGTAGCTGAGGTCTTTTTGAATCAGGGTAGTCAGCTCCCTCCATTTTTGGGGCTTTGCAGGACCCTCATTTTCCCTGGGGGTGATGGTATGTCCTTCTACTGATGTGCTCTGTTCCTGCCCCAGATCCGGAAGGCTGCAGCGAGCCAGGTGTACGAGATGGTGCTCACTTATAGTGACATGGTGGATGCAGACGTCCTGGAAGAAGTCATGGCTGTGCTCAGTGACACAGCCTGGTAAGTGGGGTCTGCTTAAGCCTGGTACTGTTCCCTCACAGCCTCTTGAGGAGAAAGGGGGAGTTCTTAGTCCTTGATGGCTGGCTTCTGGCCTTCATATGGAGAACTCTGGCCTCACACAGGGCCATGGCCAGGAGATAGGCATCTCCTGGGGCTTCAGATGGGAAAATGTTCAGTGTGAAATTGTTTTTCCTCCCGGAGTTTGTTGTGAGTGAAAGCCCCCTGCTTGTCAGAGGCTGGTGGCTTTTTTTCTACAGCTGGGCACATGGCCGTCTGTGTGCCACTGGGGAACAACAGCCCCCCTAGTGGTTCAGAGTGTCAGAAATGCAGGGAAGCTATTGCTCCTGGGTTAGGGATACGTGAGTGCCAGTATATGTGGGTGGGCATTAGGTGGCTACAGCAGCTGCTGCCCCTATTCTTCCCACCACGAGGGTCCTGTGGCCTTTGCTCTGCCTTGACAGGCCCTGGGGACATGTCTCAGAAGTCAGGGGTGCAGGAAAATGTCCCTGTCTGCCCTGAAGCCCACCCCTGCCTCAGTCAGGGTATATGGAGAGTGGGAGAGTGGCTGACAGTGTGGGGCACAGGTGCCTGGGCCAAGGTCTGGGGCTGGAAGCAGCTGCAAACAGGGACTGTGGCAGTCCCAACAAGCACTTAGGTGATGCTTCCTGTGATCCAGAGACTGTACGTACAAGTACATGCTGTCACATGCAGCTGTGTGCACACAACTGTCACATGCTATCACGTATGTGCCCAGCTGCCCACACAATTAGATACACATGCATGCAGCTAGGTGGGCTGAGGAGCTGCTTCTGCCCCTTCTTATTCTGATGAGGAAGATGACATGCTGACCCCAGAACACTGGCAGCAGGACTGTTGGGATAGGCTATGTGGTATGTCCACAGGTGTCCCTCAGAACAGTGGCCTCCCCAAGGTCTCAGGCCAGGATGCAGCCTCCTGCCTGGACAAGACCTGTGAGGGCCTGGAAGGGCAGAGGGCTTCAGGGCTTCCTTGAGGTCTCCTGGACTTGCAGGGGTGGACGTTTTTGTGCCTCAGCAGGAACCTGTCTCAGCCGCCTTCTGACATTGGAGGAGCTGGTGGTCACAGCATGGCACCAGGGCTACCCTTTCTCATCTGTCCTGCTTTCTGAGACCTGTGAGGCCTGCTGTGGGGCAAAATCTAAAACAGCTTGAACAAGGGCACTCAAGAGATGAGTGGCCGACACTAGGGACACCTGGGTGGGTCTGCTCTCTGTTCCATTGAGGGTGGAGCTCGGGGGAGGCTCTTCTGTTAAAATAACTCCAGTCTTTAAAAACAGCTTCTTGTGTCACAACAGAAAAACATGTTGGATAGTTCTGTTTTTAATGAAAGCAGTAAATGGCTGAATTCCAATTCAAGTAAAGCTTCTGGAATCCTCACAATAAAGCCCATGCACACCTTTCTGTAAAGCCCTTGTGAAGACATCTTCCTCAGGCTGTAGGTTCGCCTGGTGTCTTGAGTTGGCATGGAGCCTGTGCCACACTTGGCACATCCGCGGGTATGTGGCTCACCCTTCCTCTCTTCTTTAGGGATGAGAAGCTGCCAGTTGTAAGAGAGCGGCGGAATCGCTTGTGTGACCTTCTTGGAGTGCCCAGACCCCAGCTAGTTCCCAAGGTAATCCCTGTCACTGCCCAGCACTGTGGGGACAATGTGGTGCTGATGCTGTCTACCTCTTGAGCTTTGGAGTCCATAATGTTCTAGGACCCGCAGTCCGGGTCAGCTTGTTACAGTCAGTGTGTCCACATGGCCTGTCCCTCTCCTGTCACTGCCCACGTCTTCCCTGGTCCCATTGGGCATGCTGATGTGGTGGCCTGGGCAATCTCTGTGTCCTCATGCTGCTGGTTGCCAGGTCTGCAGCTCTTGGAGGATTCATGTTGCCCCAGCTCCTCCCTCCTCTAGACTGACAGATCCTTCCTTCCTTATGTGGGAGGGAGGCCTGGCTCCTGTGCCCATGTCCATCCTCACCACCTTCCACTCTGAGTCCCGTTTTCCAGGTTGTCACTGGAGGGGTTGGGGTGTCCACAGTATGCAGGCTCAGTGCTGTCATTGGTGCCCTTCAGACCTCTTCCTGCGTTCTCTATCTGTGGGGTCTGTCATGTATTCTGCACGGGGCAGACATCTGCCGCAGGCTCCTTTCACCTTTGAACCAAGCACATTCAAGCTGCTGCTTCCCCTTCTTTTACTGTCTCAGATCTTTGCCTCCTCCCAGGTTACCTACGCAGGTGGTCTGATGTTTCCTCATAGAAATTCAGAGTCCGCCTGGGACTGGTTGTTGTGGACGGGTTAGGCTGTGTTTCCGTGTCCCCTCTGCTCTGGGCCGAGCACGTCATCACCACTGACCTGTCAGGTGGCCACATGTGTGTGGCTCTTTGGATTCTATCTATGTTTCCTGGATCTTTCTGTCCCTCCATAAGCCAGGCTCAGTGTGTCTGATGGAGATGGAGAAGGCATGTTGATGGTGCCTTCCTGTTTCCTTCTCTCCAAGATTGTCTTGTTGGCCCTTCAGCTTTTCTTGAACTTTTAGAACCAGTGTGTCAGTTTGCACTCGCCTGCCAGGCTTGCCTGCCTTTGCTGTGTCCAGGTGGAGGGAACCCAGGCCTCCAACCCTGGCCAGGCTCATTTGCCCCTTGCAGCTTCCTGGCCTTTGTCTCAGAGCAGAGCTGTTTCACCTCCTTGTGACTGCTCTTGGTTCAGCCTCTGATGTTTTCCCTCTGCATCTCAGTTTGGGAAGTTCCTGCCCCCCTCCATGCTGGCTGAGTCGAGCTGTCCAAGGCCTTCCTCACCGATAGGCACTGCCTTCGGATTCCTGCCTCTGCTCTGTCCCAGCTTCTGTGCTCCCACTCACCTCATTGCACCCCCTGGGCTGTTTTCAATTTACAGCCTGCATCTAGTCTGTCTGATGCTTGTTCTGTCTGTCAGTAGTGCTGTTTCTTGGCACATCCCGTAGTTTTCCTTGGGAGCCAGGTGTGAGCTAAGTGGTTTTGGCGAGATGTCTCTGGATGGAGCCGCTTTATTGATGTTCACTGTGGTGTTGGTCCCAGGGGCTTTCGGTTCCTTCCGCTCCATTTTGTCTCTACTCTTGTCTTCCTGAAGGGCCCGAGTCCTGCAGCTCTCTGAGCCAGACCCCAGCTTCATGCTGGAGCTGGTGAGGGCAAAATAGTGTGGGGAGCATTCTATAACTGTTCAGTCAGCTTCTATCCTCGAGCTGTGGCTGGTCTATGTCCTTCCTGGTGCTCCTTTCATTTCCCCTTCTGTTAACCTGTTGTACAGTTCTCCTGCCGTCTGTCTGTGGTTATGTTGAAGATGACCCTCTTTCTTAATAATCACAGTCTGCAGGAGTCAGGCAGTGGCTTGGTGCCACCTCTACCCCTTGGCCTTCCGGCTGGAGTTGGCTTCCTGTTGGGTCTGCTCCTCCCCTGACCTTCAGCACAACCCTGTGGGCACTTGACATCTCTGAGGAAATTCTCTCCTTTTCCTTGCCTCCCTTATGTGCTGGACTGAGTCCCTAGGCCCGAGCCTCTCCCTCACTGGAGCAGTAGTGTCTATATAGGGCGTGGACACCAACCTAGAGGTTTCCAAGTAGCACCTCCAGGAGCAGTGACGATGGGCTACCTGCTGTGGCGCAGTCTCACCTATGTCCTTATTTAGAGAGAGTGTGAACACATCAGATGTACAAATTAAATGTGCTTTTTATGTTCTCATTAGGGAAACTTTGAACATGCAGGAATGAAGCTAAGGAGAGGAGTAGTTTAGTGACACTGCCCAGACAAAGCTGAGGCCACAGAGCCACCTCCACGTGGCTCAGGCTCCCAGGGTCTGGGATGTGGCTTTCTGCAGGAACACAGCATGCATTTCTCCCCACACAGGGGCCAGAGAGGCTGGGGGTGGATGAGGAGGCAAGACTGACCAACCTAACACTCATGTCTCTCCCACAGCCCACAGTCACTGAAGCCAGTCCTGGGAGCTGAGTGGCCTATGGCTGAATGTCCAGCTCAGAGGGAGGCACTGAATGCTACAGCAGCACGGAAACCTGGTGCTACGTGGCCTGTGTCGACCGAAGTATGGCTGCTGGTGCACCTGCTGCCAGGCCTGGGAGGCCGTCACCAGGCAGTGGCATTTCATCATGTGCACACACTGCTCTGTATGCTTCTGCCTTAACACAATGCACTGCCCATAAAATCCTGTACCAAGTGGTTCCTGCCTCTGCCTCTCTCTAGGGCTGATGCGTGAGGGGGCTGGGAGAACCCTGTGGGCTGGAGGAGGTGATGGGCTTCCCCTCTTTCTGGAGGCTTTGGTGGGGCTAGGGAGCAGGGCAGGGCTGGTCATAGCCACTGAGATGACGGTAAGTTGCATGGTGGTGTTGTCAAGCTGTGGTGGCAGGTGTGGGCAGCTGTCCCCCACATGTGTGCTTTAGAGACCACTGACAGCCAGGCATGCAGCCCAGCTGTTTTACAGAGGTCTGAGTAAGGGACTGGCAGAATACAGCATGTCCCCTTGAACAGTGTGACTCTTCTGTTCCTGCCTGTGCCTTTTTTGTCTTTTCACACCTGTGCAGAATGGATACTGGGCCTCTTAAGGGAAGCTCCTCCTGCTCATCTGTCCTGTTATGGCAGCCCTGGGTCTCACCATGTCATTGCTTGGGAAGGGTGGCCAAGCAGTCCCAGAGCAAGTGTCCTCTCTGGGCCACTGAGGTTGGATGAAGGAATGGTGGCAGGAGAGTTGGCAATGCTGCCACATCAGAGCTATGAGCCCAGGACTATGACGACAACCTTTTGCTCAATTTAGCAGCCTGCTCCTCAGGGTGGCTGGGGCATATCCATGGGGTTCAGCCACTTGGCTCAGGGGAGTCAGGCTCTAGGGTGTACAATCTGCCAACTCTGAGGAGTCACTTTCTAGGCCTGGGTTAAGCCACCAGGCCTCTGACTTCTTTGTGACCAGTGGCCTTCAGCCCTGGAGGAGCCTGGGCATGTGAGTGGGGTTCTGACTCTTTGTTCTAGCTGCAACACATGCCTCCCTCCTGGACTGTGATCTGGGCTCTTCATGAACCAGGTGTAGCCACGTTCACGTGTGGGAAAGGCTCTGCTGTCCGGTCTGCTGGGGAGAGGCAGGCGGCTTCTGAGGAGAACAGAATGAACTGGTTTTAGTGTAATTTAAAAACATCAATTCCAGAGGAGACAGCATTTTAAACCCAGAGACGGGTCAGTTAATTATAGACCTGTTGGCCTAGCAAAGCAGTTCCACTTTCCTTATAACTGTGATTCAAGGAAAAGCCATGTCCCCTGACCAGACATCTGGGTGGAATCCCATCCCTCACCAGATACTTGTTCCTTGCAGACACCTGGTGGCCCAGGAACCTTCTCCAGCAGCACAATGTGTGTCTGGAGCTCCTAGGTCAATAGGAGCCCTTCCTACTTACAGCTTCATGACATCCAGGTGGACATGGCCAAGTGAGGACCAGTGTGGCGAGTGGAGCAGTGGGGTCAGGAAAGTTCTCTGAAAGTGCATTTGGGAAGGAGCCCCGGGGACAACAGCACATGCCTGGCCAAAGATGAGCAGGCCCAATGAGTCCACAGAGCAGCAGGAAGGTAGCACAGGAACAGAGGTACAAAGGAAACTTGGGGCCACCTGCCCGGGACAAAGCACACTACAGGGGTCTGGGACTGTGTGCCTGGGACATAGTGTGTGAGGGGAGACAGGGCTGCTGTCCAGCCACACCTGTCCAGCAGGAGCCCTGGGGACTCAGGTTCCTGCTGAGCCTCAAGTCTAACTGTAAATTCTGATTATGATAGCAGGATGAGGGAGGATGAAAGGCCCTGGGTAAAAATCTAATGGGAAATGTAACGGGGACCTTAAACAGCTGCATACCAGTGTGGGAGGAATCCTCACAGAATTCCTTCCTGCACTGAGGGGTGGAAGGGATGCATCTCCCAGAGCCTGTGTGCTGCCCGAGTGAGTCCGAGACTCCTAAGATGGAGCCTCAGCAGACTTCCTGCTCCACATGGCAGGTTCTGACCCAGCAGGGGATACAGGGTGATTTATACAGAGCACATGAAGACAAACCACCACAGCATCAACAAAACCAAAAGGACTGGTACTGCCGGTTCAGGTACAAAAGCAAATGGGTAGCAATTGTCAAGAGACTGGTCAAAACGAAGCGCTTCTAGGAACAAAAAATGTGAGAAGTAAAGGTGAAAGGTCAGTGTAAGTTATACTCCAGCTACATGGGGCTGTCAGAAGAGGTCACCCAGAGGGGCAGCTGGGAGACATGCCTACACTGTCCCTGGGTCTCAGAAGGACCTGGTGTAAATGCTGCACTCCAGTTAGACACAGCAGGCCCAGGCAGGACGAGCTGAAGAAGGTAAGGGAGACAGTGGGCAGCAGCTCCCCAGCATTGGGCTCTGGCGCTGAGGAAAAAGTGAGATGGGGGGGTCACCAGAGAAATTCACCTTAACCGATCCATGTATGCAGTATAGCATTCTCATGAACTGAGCCTTTCTAACTCATGGTGGTTTCTTCATCTTGGCCCTATTAGCATTTGGGGCTACCATGACCATTGCAGCCTGCATGCCAGTTGTGACACAGTTGTGTCCAGACACTGCCAATGCCTCCTTAGGCACGCCTGTCCCCAGCTGAGACTGCAACTCTAGTGGCAAGCTTTAGGCAAAAGGAAAACCATCCCAGTTAGATGGTGTCAACTGCAGGGAGGGTGCTGAGAGCAGTAAGGAAACTGACTGTGTGGTCAAGAGCATGTGGCTAATCTGAGTGTTTTGCATGTAGAATCCCTTCAGATGGACAGGAGCAGCAGGAGAGCATCTCAGGTCCTGGGGACAGGGAATCCCTGTCATCGTGGTTAGGTGTGCCTGCCGACCTGCCAAGGGCCACCCCAACAGGAGCTGGTGTACACCATAGCAGAGAAGTGGTATGACAGGGAAAAAACACCCTACCAAAGAATGGCAAGAAAAAGTAGGCAACCTGCAAAAAAATAAAACTTTAGAAATGAATATATCAGCACACACAATGTGAGTGTGTTAAATACTCTGTTTAAATGACACAAATGTCCTATCAAAGAACTGCTGGGTGCAGTGGTATATGCCTGTAATCCCAGCTATTTTGAGGTGGAGGCAGAGACAAGATGATCACAGTTTGAGGCCAGCCCTGGCAAAAAGTTATCAAGACCTTACCTGTAAAATAGCTTAAGTGATAGAGCACTTGCCGAGCAAGCACAAAGCCCTTGAGTTCAAACCCCAGTGCTACCAAAAAACAAAAGGGACAAAGACTCTTGGGCTGGATGAAACACAGCTGTGTGTGTTCAGAAGTGCACGCCTAGAACAAAAGAGAAGACAGTCGAGGAAAGAGGCGCCAATCATAGCTGGCAAAGAACCAGGTCCCATACCAGGAGATGCCTGCTCAGTGTGCCAGGAAGCAGGGATCAGTCAGTGTTGACCAAGGTGAGATACTCCAGCTCAGAGAACAGGATGACAGGCCTCTGCCCTCGTGTGGACCTGATTATAAAAGTAAGATTCAGGCCTGGGGTGGTGACATATGTCTATAATCCCAGCACTCAGGAGGAGGATCGTGCAATTCAAGGCCAGCCTGGGCTACATAATGAGACCATAACTCGATAAGTAAATAAACAAAGTAGCCAGATGCAGTGAGTCACATCTGAAATCCCAGCTACTCAGAGGTGGAGACAGGAGGATCAAGGTTTGAGACCAAGCTAGGCAAAGTTAGCATGGAACCCTATCTGAAAAACAAACTAAAAGCCAAAGGGCTTGGGGATGGAGCACCTGCCCAGCAAGCACAAGATATTGAGTTCAGTTCCCAACGCCATAAAATAAAAACCCACAAAAAATAAAAACAAGAGCCAGGCAAACCCACTGCCTGTGTGTCAGTGACATTGAAACAAAAAACTAGTGAGGATGGACTGAAACTGAAGAAAAGCTTGGCTTAGGTCTAGAACAGAGCTAAAATTTTGATATCAAAATTATAAAAGTATAAAAAAGTTATAAAGGAAGTTACAAAGCATTTGATCAAAGTTAGTAAAACACTGGCTGTGAACTACAACATGAGGAACTCGCCTGAGGTGGTACTCAAGGGGTTCTGAGAAGGGGGAGTCAAAGGAAGCAGAGAAACTGAGTCAGTGTGATAGGGAATTGTGCAAGTGGCGAGGTTCAAGAACCCCTGTAATGCTTCAGTGCAGACCCACCTGTGGTGGCCGCCTTGGCCTCAGCTGAAGTGAAGGAAATCCTGGCCTTCCTGCAGGTGCAGTGACCTCAGGTTGTCTTCAAACTCGCCCCCTGTGAGGTCCTGTTGGGGAGATCAGGTCTGGATGGGCAGGGCCTCCTCCCACTCCCTGGGTCCCCTGCATGGGGTTCGGGGTGCTTGTGTCCACCTAATACATGGTTTACTGTGAATTTCTGTCCCTCTGTTAGTAGGGGAGGGGACAGGAGGGGACAGAAAGAGACTAAGGGGCAGAGAGAGCAGCAACAGGCACTGTCAGTAACTGGTCACTTCTGTGGGTGGGAGTCCAAGAGGTGCCCACACTGTTTGGCCTGACCTCTGCTCCTCTACAGAAGGCAGCTGACCCTCTTGCTCTGTTGGCAGACATGCCTTCCCTCCTCACCTCTGTTCTTGGAACAGTGGTCCTCACACCTCTGCAGGGTCACCATCTGCCTGCCTGTCTGATCCCCTCTGGCCTCTGACACCTGTCCCTGCAGAAGGACAAGGGCTCCTGTGTCTTGGCCTCGGCCCGTGGTCTAAGCCTAAGCCTTCTGCATGGGGCTGGCAGGTGTGGGGAGATACTTCTTAGAGAATGTAGCTCCTGAAGAACAGCCCAGCCTGTGGCAGACACAAGTCTTGGGTATGTGGCAGGACACAGAGAGACCACCCTGCTCCAGGGGGGTTGTCTGTCTGTCCTTGGGTTAATATAGGACTCTGAGCCTGGCTGTGCCCCCAGCCTGCCTTGTTCCATCACTGCTGTCACCAATGGACTCTGGCTAGAATTACTTGAGTAGAAATGCAGAAATGTCCATGCTCTCTTCCACCCACTGCCTGCTCCAGGCCTTCACCGCCCTGACCCATTTATAGAAGAAACACTGGGACTGGGACCAGCACAGGCCAGAGTCTGCCCAGCAAGCACTGATGCCTTCTTAAACATGGTGTCACTAAATTGGATGCTCCACACGTCACATATTCATCCCCCTGAGACTGAAACAGCAGCCATGAATCATAAGGCTCAAAATCAGGAAGGATTAGCATCCAGAAGATGTGGAGATGTCCAAGTCTCCAGAGACACACAGTCCAGCAGAGAAATGAGGAAATCCTGATTAGAAAAGTTGCAAAGAGAAAATCCCAGGGTCCAGCAGACCAAATGTGCAGCTTTGGTAATCAGACACTCAGAGCCAGTGAGAGACCGTGTGCTCGCAGAACAAGTGGAAACTGAGTCTGATGTCCATATGGGTGGCCCCCACGGCTGGGAGCCCTCTGTCTCTGGCCCCAAACCCCCCCAACCTGCACTTCTCTCCTGAGATGTACTGAGGAATGGGGGTGTGTGTGGCAGCACTGTGACAGGCCTGGGTCCTGACGTGCTCAAGGGGTCCAACAGTCCATACCACATGCCATGCCATGCGCGAACTCAGACATGTTGAGTGAGGGGAGATGACGTGAGAAGACAGGCTTTGTGCATAGGAGTGACAAACAGCAGCCACTGTGTGGTTAGGGCGTGCATTCCTTGTGCCCACTGGGCACACACTGCCCTGTGAGGTAAAGTGCTGTATCTTCCCGCTGCCTGGGCTCTCCCTGGGTCTGGGCACTGCTGGGTGGCAAGCACTTTGCCCATGATTGGACATCACGTCCAGGATGACGCTGCATTGTTCTTAAGGCTGTAAATGCCATGGCTTTGTGGTTTCTGTCCTGTGTTCCCTTAAGACTATAAAAACAAGCAGAGGGTCGAGTGTGACCTGCTGGCCAGCATGTGCCAACCCTGTTGAGCCCATTTTCACAGTAAATGGTTTATTTAAAGGAGAGGAATTCTGAAATAAGGAAGGAAGACCAGCCTGATGTAGGCATCAGACAGCTGTGGCGACCCGTGGCACTGGCACGTGAGCAGATGCAGGACTCTCTTCCCTACCAAGTCCACGACAAACCCCATGCACTCTGCCAGCACAGGAAGGTGGCGTTCCTCCTGGAGAATAGTGGGTTCCTCCATGAGTGAGGCTGGGACAATTCAGTGTCCAAATGGAGAGGAAAGGGATTCCTATTTTTAATCTTTTCAGTATCAAAGACAATAAAAAATAGAAGTCCTAGAAGCAGACGTCGATGGTATTTTTTCGTTTTGCCATCAGGAATGGCTGCCTTAGAATGTCCAAAGTCCATAAAAGGAAAAGTCGAGTAATTATTATCTACATGGCAAAATGTCATGTGTTTAAAAATTTAAACAAATGACACTGGAATCTGCAACACATCACAGAGGTCTGTTTTCCTCACTGTGTTAAGAAAAATGCTGACAGGCTGGTGGAGTGGCTCAAGAGGTAAGAGCACCTGCCTAGCAAGCATAAGACCCTGAATTCAAATCCCAGTGCCACCAGAAAGAAAGAAAAATGCTGACAAACCACTAGAAAATGGGCCAAAGAGATGTTTCCTGCGGGATGGGGCTGTGAGGAAGGGCCTCCTGTCACATGACCTCACCGCTGCTCTGTTGTGTCCCAACATAGCTGCTAGTCATCTGCTGCTGCGTGACAACTCTACCAGTGGAGTGACATGCCACATCCACATGCACTGGTCATGCCATTTCTGGGGTCTGGCCCAGGCCTAGCCATGATTTGTCCTGAGATGAGCCCTTGTGGATTGGAAGCTGTCAGGAGGGGGAGCTTGAGTCCACGCATGTCTTCCTTCATCAGCATGGCTCAGCCAGCTCCATCCACCAGCCACTGTTCCCCCAGTGACCAGATGTGTGCACGGCCCCCTTGCCTGGACTCCCACCACCTGGTGTCCCCAACTGAGGGTCTCCACATACTCCAGAGGGAGCAGAGAGTGTGGCATCAGTGTCTTGGCACTTCCTGGGGCTGGTGACAGGGTTTGCCTTACCCCCTCACTTTGTGGAGTCCATCATAAAAAGGGAGAAGCTCTTCAATCTTTCAGAAAGAAAGGGGAGAGGAAATGACTTTCCAGCAGCATTTTAGTAACGAGAGTCTTAGGAGCAAGACCAACCTGCACCCAAGAGTGGACAGGACAGGTGGGCAGGCTCCTTCCACAGTAACAGGGAACATCCCAAGTGTGGCCAGCTTCCAGAGGCCAGCAGTAAGAGGTGTGTTTTGAGAAAGACACCACTGACAAGTGATGCCCACCTTGCAAGGGGCCTGGATGAATTGGAGGTGCAGGTCTGCTTAGCACGGCCGTGGACTTGGTCACCCTGCCAGTTCCACCAGGGACTTTGAGGAAACTGACAATGGAGAGGAAGAGCCAAGGTCAGGCAGGCAGGGCTCCCATCCAGCAGGATACCACAACGGCAGTGATCTGAGCTGGAGGATGACCCAAGAAGGGGTGGGTCTTGAGAATGAGGGCACTGGTCCTTCCAGATGGACTTGGGTTCTACTGCAAGGGGTGCTTTGTGTTAAACATGAAGTTGCCTGTAGGAAATAACTTCCTGTGCAGGACAGTAAAATGTCACCATAAAATCAGCCGCTGCTGCCACTTTAAAGGGAAGAGGCTGTGAAGACTCCTGGAGAGGGAACATCCACCACACATTGACCAACTAACCAAGAGTGTGCAGATCAAAGGAGACCTCAAAGTCAGAGCAGGACCAAGGAGGCCACAAGGATGGGTGCTCCCAGGAGGCATCTCAGCCTCCATAGGAAGCTCACTACCACTGTGTCACTGCTCAGGCAGCAAAACAGGTCCATTTTCTTGACAAGTCATGAGATACTGTTTAGCACTGACCACAAATGACCCTGATGTCCTCTAAACAGGAGTATCAGGTGCCTGTGCCCACACAGCCAGGATGGAGGAGATTCCTAGCATCTCAAACAGTTGCTGTCAGCTCTGTCATGTGCAGACAACACGGCAGTTGAGTGACATAGACAACCACACTGTGGACACGGAGATTGGGCCTGCAAGTTCATGAGTTCTGACAAATGTTGGTTTGCAGTGTTTAAAGGAAGCCTGGAAGAAGTCCAGGCTTATGAGGGTGCCACCCAGGTTCCCTCCCACCACTATGTCCCATGAGGTCAGGGCAGGAAGGCAATGCCAAGCCTGAGACTCAGAAGCCCCACACCGTAGCCTACCACTCACCAGCTTCACACAGATGACAAAGGGTGGCTGGGCAGCTCGGAAGTGCAAGATGGGGATCCGTGGCTTGGGCCTTTCCTGGAGGGAGATGGGTTGGCCATAAGAGTCCTTAGATTCCTCATGAAGACAGGGCCCCTGTGGCCTGTGCCAGAAACGGCCCTGTGGTCAGGTGGTAGATGGGATCTCAGGCCAATCAGGGCAGGAAGGACAGCTACTCCCTGGTCTCCAGCAGCCCCAGCCACCTTACAGAGCTACACCTACAGAACCAACTGTGGTGGTTTGGCCTCAAGACCCAGGACAACACACAGGGGTGTCTCCCCAAGGAATGAGGTACGGGTGTCCAAGGGCCCTGGAGACTTGGGGGATGCATCTGCTGGTGGGGCCCAGGTGGCTGTTCTGGGGGAGGTCACCTCTCCCGGGAAGGTGACCCACATACCTGAGTGTCCTCATAGCAGTAGAAGCCCTTCCTGATTTTGTTCTCATCCACATCACAGAAGGCAACCACCTGGGGTAAGCACAGACCAGCAGCTTCAGGGACTGGGTCTGTGCTGCTGGGTAGAGGCAGGGAGGGTGGAGAGAATGGGGAGGGGATAGGCTCACCTTGTGTTGGCTGGCGGCTGTCAGGCTACGGTACAACCTGCGCCCCTGCTTGCCTGCATTCCAGATGGTGAAGGATGCCCAGCGAGGTAGGGCCTGCTCCTCCAGGAAGTGGACACGGTGGGTCCAGATGGTTGTCCTGCAGCCAGGGGAGAAGGGGCAGCTGAGGCTAGCCAGGTGCTGGGGGCTCCACCTTCCCCTTACCTGCCCTCTTGGCTCTGGAACACGCATATAGGCATCACCAATGCACACTGTGGCTCTTCCTGCTCGTGTGAAGTGGACACCAGGCCTGGCGCCAAGTCCTCAAGCCGTCTGCCACAGCTGGAGACCACCAGGAGCCACCATGTAGCTCCATGGCCTGTGGGAACCTCAGGGCCAGCAGGCTGGCATGTTCTCCAGGCAGGACCCCTCTCCTCTGTCCTAGAGATGTGGCCCCTGATGGGTTCTCTCTACGGCCACTGGGCAGCTGCCAGCTCTAACAAATGGCTATTTTCAACTTTATGGGGACAGGAAGGGCCTATCGTCTCTCTGGCCTCAAATCCTAGACATGGAGCCATCTCTACCGAATTAGAAGGTTAAGGGGAGTCTCCTGGATGTAACATGGACCAAACACCACAAGTCCAATTTCTCAGAGAAGTCATCCTGCGGAAGGGTCATATCCCACCACGTAGTCATGCATTCACATCAAGAAGTGACTTGCTGTCTCAGGGTCCCCTGTTTAAAACAGAAACCATGATTTCTCTGGACCATCCCATAGATGTCCCCTTCCCAGAACAGGCAAACTTGCCCCCAGGCAGAGGGCCAGGACTGTGGTTCTCCCAGGACAGCTTCTTCCCTTGACCCCACTTGACTGCTGGCTCTGTCCCCTGTGCCATGATCCCCATGCATTCAGGGACCTCTCAAAGTGTGCACAGGGGATGGGGCGAGGAGGGAGCAAGTAGGCTGGACACACAATGGCCGGATGGTTCTTGTCTGTGCCCACAATAGGGCGGCTTTTGCCAGCTCATTATTTGCTGCAGCCTCCACCCATCTTGAACATTTTAATTAGGGCTGTGCTGAGCAGCCACGACTTTGAGGAGGATTCCCCAGGGCTCTGGGATCCATGTGGATGAATAACATCCAAATTCTGGACCTTGGCCTCTGTGGCCATGTAGCACCTTATTTCTAAGAAAAACACAGGCGGGTACACTTCAGTCCACACAAAACATTCCTGGTGTGGCTACATGCGCAGCTCTGCATCACCCAGGGGACAGAAGACCTTCCCAAGTGAGAAGCTGGCCACGCACCTCGGGTCCAATGGTTGGGTGAAATCCTTCACACAGGAAGAGACCCCAGCTCCCCACAAGAAAGCCCACCCCCCTTTTTTGTCAGTACTGGGGTTTGAACCTGGAGCCTCATGCTTCCTAGGCAGGTGCTCTACCACTTGAGCCACATCTTCCAGCCCTAGAAAAGGACCTTCTGACAGTTTTCCTTTAGAGAACAAGGGGTATGTCAGTCCTAGAGGTGACCCCAATCTGAGAAGCAAAGTGGAGCTGGGTGGGGTCAATGGCAGAAGCAGGCCATGCTGTTCAGGGTCCCCAACAAGAGTCGCAGATGCTATAGGCCCATTCCAGATTCCATCCTGAAGACGTACAGGATACACATGTCCTTACCAGGGGCGCGTGAAGGTCCAGGCAAAGCAGACCCTTTGGGACCCTGGCCTGCCAACCTCCAATCTCCTCCTGACTGAGGTGAGTCCTCTGTATGCAGCAGGGACTCTGGTGAAAGTCCCTGCTCGGGACAGCCCACTGCAGGACTCAGAGCGGGGTCCATATTGAGGACAGGGCACAGCCATTCCATTGGGTATCCCTGTTGGGGGGAAAAATCCCAATCTGACCTTGCTTCACTCCCTGTATGGGAGGATGGTGGGTCTAACTGTGGTGGGCTCCAGAAGAAAATGGACCTCTGTAACACACTCTGTCCCCTCCATGCCCTTGGCATCCTGAGTCTTCTTAGGCAGTAGCTGGCCTGGATACTATGGCGTGTTACATATGACGGAAATTTATAAATGGCTGACAAGAACACATCTGCATCTCAGTAAGTGTTTCTTTATGCTGGCTGGGCTTCTCTAGGGAACTCCCCTTTGGAGAACAGACTCTTCGGATGCCTGACACACCTATCTTCCTGCTGAGAGGAGGCTGTGGCCTCATTTTAGAGCCAGGGGCAGCAGCCAGGGGCATTGGGTTTCCCAGATCCACATGTCAGCATTTCCAGAACATTCTGGGAGGGGCTGCAGGATCACAGACACCACTGCACCAGCAGCATGAGTCCCAGAGGGTCCAAAGAGGAGGGGAGGAGGAAAGGGCCAGCTGGGTGAGAAACACTCCCCTTTCTAGGAGGAGGGCACGACTCTCAGTCAGCAGCATCTGTGACAGCAATAGCCCTCATGGAAAGAAGCATAGGACCCACAGCTGTCCCAAGCACTCAGGAGGGTGGATAACCCACCGGTCTTGGTCTGGTGCACTGTGGGTGCAGCACTGTACATGAGCCTTGGCTGTTTACAAAGAGGAGGACCTACTTCTCCAGGTCAGGGCTCTGTGGGGCTCCATATCTGGTTGCTTGGCTCCTGCTTCCAAGGTGCATCTTGTTGCTGGATCCTCACATGGCAGAAGGGATGGATTGGGCAAGGTCAATACTTTGATGAGGCACAAGTCCACACAGTATGGGAACGAAGTCCAGGGCAGAAGCTTCTATGAAGATTTCCAGCAATGCTGGGAGAAAGCAACTTACAGAGGGCAGGCTTCACACAGGTTAAGCACACTGGTGAGATGCATGTGTCGTAAAGTATAAAGGTGTGGGCAATGTTTGATTTCCTAATCATGTCTTTTGGTATCAAGTATTTCATACAAAAATGCTAAGTGACAATGCAGCCATTGTCAATTTAAAGTAAAAAGGACAGAACTGAGTCACCACTGGAGGGCTTCCAACAGAATTTGGACAATTGCCTCTTCAGCAAGCCTGAGGTTATAATTAAGGCTGTCACCTTGGGAGGTGTTGCAACCCACAGCTCAAAACTTTAATCCGACACAGAAACTCACATTAGATCACTTATTTTGTGTTGTGGGTGGCAAAGCCTTATGTTGCAAACATGAAAGAAGAGCCCTGCACACAGGTGATGAGATGCATGCGGCCAGCTCTCGGGCCTGAGCCTGGATTCCTCTCACTGGCCCATGGTTGGTGGGCTGTGATCATCACCCAGGTGGCTGTGCCTCACAGACCAGGACAGGAAGGACCTGCACAACCTAAAGCCCACACACACTCATGTGGCCTGCAGATGATGGCAGAAGAGAGTGAGTGTCCAGCATCTTAGCTGACCAGTGACATACTGAACAATGATGAGTAGAAATGAGAAATGACCTGGGGGGAGGATGTGGCTCAGACGTAGTCCATGAAATCCCCTCCTGCTATGGGTGCAATCAGCCCATCAGATGGGTATCCTGGGTCAGCTTAAAGCAAAAAAAAAAAAAAAAAATGAGCCTTCTGAGGCACCAAGACATGACCTCCAGCTCACACAACCATGGCCTCTTCCCCACATGACCATGGCCTGCACGTAACACAAGAGAGAGGGAGGACATTTGACCTTCATACTAGTGCTTTCAGGCTTAGACTCCTTCCAAGGACACTGTTGTGCCTTCTATATCCCATATACCACCACCTCCTCGGTGGGAATCCCATTTCCTACTGACCAAACTGAGTCTTACAGCAGATCTCTGACCCAGTCACATGTGTGCCCCATCGACCATGTCCTTGACCATACCAGCGCTTCACACATGACCTGGGCCTGACCAGCCAGGACCTCATACACGATATGGGTCAAACCAGTCATGACCTCACATGTCCCTGGGCCTCCCTAGATGTTTTAGAACCTGATGCGATCTACTTACTCGAGGACAGAGTGTGTGGCTGCATGCAGGTGGTAGCGGTAGAGGAGCAGGCTATGGTCCACCCGAAAGATGCCGCCCCCCTTCCTGAGGTTCTCGTAGAAGAACAGCAGATCCTCTGGCACACCCTGCAGGAGAGGAGAGCATGCTCACTCAAGTGTGCTATGCTGGCTCAGGCAATCAGACACAGGGAGAGGCTTCTTTGCTAAGACACCAGACTGGAGCCAGATGTGGTGGGGTGCACCTGTGGTCCCACATACTTGGGAGGCCGAGGCAGAAGGATTGCTGGAGTCTAGGAGTTTGAGGCCAGCTTAGATAACACAGTGAGATCCTGTCTCAGAAAAGGAGAAAAGAAAAGAAAAACTAGTTTTGGAGGATCCACAGTGATATGGATTCTCTACCACAGAAGTGAAGATTAGCAACTCTACAGCGATTTCACACAGGTAGGAAAATGAGCCCTGAGGTCGGGGGAAGATGAGGAGCAGAGGGTATGCTGGGCGGGGTCTGTAGTCTTGGTTCTGTCCCAGGTTCCATTTTGTAGGGCAGAAAAGGGCACATCAACCACACGCAACAGCAAGGTGATCAGCAGAGTAGAGCATGGCCTCACCACCAAGAGCCCAGGGCTGGGGGAAGAAGCCAAGCTGAACACCCAAGGAGGCCCCCAGCAAGATGCTGAGAAGAGGCCAGGAGCCAGAGCCCAGAAAGGCTAATCACTGAGGCAGAAGGAACCAGAGCCGGGGTTCACAGCCCTCCCCACTGCCCCAGGGCGGGGCTCCAGGATGGGCTGCACTTCATTGCCAGTGGCAGAAGAGGGCAATGTTGAGCCAGGAACCAGAAAATCAGCCCTGAGGCAAGGCCAGGACTCAGACCAGAGGTGAAGTTTCACCTGCCCTAAACTGAAACAGAACCAAAACTTCCTCAGTGAAAACCCACCTCCTCTCCCACAATAACAACAACCTTAAAGCCACGATGTGGAACTGGTTCTGGACAGACTCTGTGCTAAACCACACCCTCAGCAAATGGTTGAGGATATGGGAAGGGAAGTTTGAATCAGAAATCCAAAGAGCAGGGTGGGTATAAAAAGGAACTGAAGAGAGTAGTCAAGTGCTTGGCCAGGGCTGGGGATGCGGCTCAAGGCACAGGTACTCTGCGGGGTTGGGGAGGTAGCATGAGCACATTTCCAGGGCATCACTGCTGCCAGGCAAAGGCTGGGATCCAGCGTAGCCTCCGCAACTCACTGCAAGGATGCCCTAGCCCAGACCTGCTCGTCCCCACAGGCAGGCGTGGATGGAACAGGGCTCCTCTTCTCTTTCCTCCCAGAGAGGCTGGCCAACACCTTCCATGTCCTGCTTTCACAAACAGCTCATCCAGGATGAGGTAACCTGGGCCCTGAGGCCAGGTGCTGCACCAGAGCAGGTGCAGATCAGGTGGATGTTCTTACTGAGATCCACCATCTTCAGCAAAATGATGGAGAGGCTTGTGGGCACATTGGGAGGACTGCCTGGCTTGGGGGTGTACTGGTGTGCAGGGAACCCACCCACAGGCCCAAGTCCCATTGCTGGTACTTACCTGGCCTCCTTCATCAAATGGGCCCACATGGGAAAACCAGGCTCGAGAGCAGAACCAGGTGGGCATGATCACAGTGGGGCCATGGGACGTAAACACCTAGAAGCAATTAGCATTGACAGAATTAACAGAAAAGAACAGCTTGTCACAACAACCAACCATCTCTCCCCAACATGTCATTAAGAAAGCGACAAAGGAATTTCCTTTCTCATGGGAACCAGGGCTCAAGGATGACAGCAGCCAACCCAGCCCACTTCCAGGTCCCCCATTCACGGATGAAGCTCATTGCTGAGCACAGTGAGGGCCCCTCTGTCCTGGATGCATGGTTAACTAGGTGAGAGATGACAGTCAACATGCTGCTTCTAGAAAACCCTAAAGCGTAAGAGGTGTGGATAGTGATGAGGTAATGTAGATGGGCACAGAGATTCTAGAGAGATATAAACCATCAGAACTGACTCAAGAAGGCAGAAAACAGAATCCATTTTTAAAAATAAGCCTAAACGAAGTCAAGAACCGTCCCACAGAGAAAAGCCCAGGCTAGGAGGCTTCTCTGGCAGACTCTGTCAGACATTTAAGAATTGACACTGTTCTTCAAAAGCTCTGGAAACAGAAGAGTGGGAAACACTTCCTAACTTATCCTCTGACACTGGCAACACCAGATACCAAAAATTGGCAAAAATATTACAAGAAAAGCAAAGGCACACTAGTGTACCTTAACAATACAGACACAAAAATCCTCAACAAAATACTAGCAAACTGGAGTCCTCATAGAAGAAGGACCACGTACCATCACTAGGTGGAATTTACCCCAGGAAAATGGATAGCTTATGAAAATCAATCGCTGTCATATACCATATTAGCAGGATAAGAGGGCAAACACTAGACAGTCATCTCAACAGATGCAGAAAGAGGCATTTGAAAAACTCCAGCACTGTCATGATATAGCTGCTCAAGCTAGGAACAGAAGGAACCTCCTTACCCTGGTAAAGGATGAGTACCAAATGTTCTGCTAGGGTCATGCTTAAAAGTGAAATGCTGGAAGGTTGCCCCCCACCCCAGGTCAGGAACAAGACAGAATGTCTGCTATTACCACCTCTGTTATTCATTATGAATGGAAGTTGTAACCAGAGCATCTGGACAAGAAAAAGAAATAATACTGGACTGGGGATGTGACTCAAGTGGTACAGCACCTGCCTAGCAGGCATGAGGCCCTGAGTTTAAATTCTAGTACTGCAAAAAAAGAAAAGAAAAAGATAAATGAACAGAACCTGCTCAGAAAGTAAGAAGCAACAACATCTCTATTTGTAGATGATTCTATAAGGAGAAAACTCCTAAGATACACACACACACACACACACACACACACACACACACACACACACACACAGTGCCAGTAAATGAGTTTGTCAAAGTTGTGGCATGAAGGTCCAAATACAAAACTCAACTAGCTTCTACACACCAGCAATGAGTAGTTCAAAAATTATACAAGAAAACAGTTCAAATCAGAAGGCAATGTTAGGAGTAAATTCAAGAAGTGCAAGACTTACACACTGAAAATCACAAACATTCTTAAAAGAAATTAAAGGCCTACATAAATAGAATGGCATCATAACTACTTACCATAGTTATGATGGCAATATTTGTTAGTTAATCTACAGTTAATATAATTCTAACCAAAAATTCCAGCTGCTCTTTTTTTGCATAAGATGACGGTCATAACTATGAAATGGACATAATTGAGAAAAGTAAACCCAAACATTTATGACAAATGATTTTCAACAAGGTCATCAAGTCAATTCTATGGTGCTGGACAACATGCAAATATATAAAGTTCTCCCCAACCTCACACCGTATATAAAAATTAACTCAAAATGGATCAAAGGCCTAAATACATGAGCTCAAGCTATAAAATCACTAGAAGAGAACATAGATATAAGTCTTCATGGCCTTGCGTTAGTCAACAATTTCTTAGATATGACCCCAAAAGCATAAGCAACCAAAGAAGTTTTATCCATTAAGAGAATTTTAAAAAAATCTACAGAGAGGGAGAAAATATTTGCAAGTCATATATCTGATAAGGTCATTCTATCTAGAATATATAAAGAGAAGTGGGTGGCGTGGTTTTAACAGAGGATTTCTGAGGGTCTTCAGTAACTCAGGAAATACCTGTAATAGCTGTGAGGGCTGCGATTGGCAAGAAGGGCACTGAGGTCGCGGTGGGCAAGTAGTCTCAGCCCATTCCAACCAGTGCTGCATGGAGCCTCCAGCCACTTCCTGAGCTGACTAGACTCACACTGGCACCACCTGTCCGTGGGTGACAGATCCCAGGATGTCTTGCCTTCTTTTGAATTGGCACATGTATTACAGCTTGTGGCATGGTAATAACCCCACGTGTGCACTGCAGTTCCCAGTGGCTGGTATTATTTTAAGCACCTTACACATATCAAACCACTGAGCACTCCCTGCAGACCTGGAAACTGAGGTGCAGGGCACTTAGGTTAGTTGCCTGATGCTGTGTGGCTAGTGGGAGGTAAGGCTGGATTCATATAGAATGTGTTTTTCACTCTGTGGTACTTCCTGTACATAGAGGGCTGGTGCACAGCCTTGCTTGCTCCAGTGCCACATGTGGCCAGCATCTGGCATAGCTGGGAAAAGGCACCTGAGTGGGAGGCACAAGCCTGGCCAAATGAGGCCATGTTGACAAACTGCCCACAGAGGCAACACTGAGAGTGGACGTCAACGTTTTGCTGGGTGAAGGAAAGCAACAAACAGGGTACATGCCACAAAATACCATGTGTGTGAAATCCTAAAAATCCTGAATCCCAGTCCATCTGACCACAGGCAGATCAGTGGTACTGGGCCAAGGCCTTTACACTTTCTCTTAAAATCTTCGCTGCCACTAAGGAAGCCACCAGAATGAAGTTGAAGTGGACGATGCAGTGAGGAAATGACTTCGCACACCCTATATCCTGAACATTAACATGCGGTGGCCCTGTGTCTTGGTGGTGGGGTGCCTGCCATCTGCTGGGGTGGCCACATGGTATGGCCCCAGCCGCTGGTGTCAGCTCTTGGGAGGGGGCTTAGCTCACTGGTAAATGCCACACAAGGCTGGGCGGCCCCTGAGTACCAACACTTTGCAGCTAATAACAAGCACCATTCCCAATAAATGTGCTCCGTATCTTTCCCTCAGCTGTCAGAAAAAAACAGATTTCACGCTGTTATTTGGAAAGTATTACAAAACAGAAATTGAGCTTCCTGTTTTCAACTTTTATTTGCCAACAATCCCGAGGTATTTTCTGGCAAGTGTTCTGTCAGCTGGACACTTGCTGGTTTGGCTGTGTGTTTGGGCATGAGACTCAATAAAAAAGGGGCTGCCCCCAGCCTCAACCTTTCTCACCACGCTGGTCAGGGCAGTGGCCACCGGCCAAGTGTGGTGACAGGCACAGGAAGCAAGGCTGGTCCCAGCGACATCCTCAAAGACTAAAACACACACAGGATTTGGAGACTTTGTATGAAAAAAAAAAAAAAAAAAAAGAATGGAAAAACATCTTACTGATATTCTTTGCATTGATCACATGCTGAAACAACAATGTTTGCAATATACTGGAGCAAATGTGATTAAATTCATTTTCTTAAATTTTGCTTTTAAAATTTTAATAAAGACTTTAAGATTATATTTTGGTTTGCATTTGTGGTTCATATTATATTTCTGTTGGATAGAATGATAGCCCTGTCTGCAAAGTAACTTAATCCATTTTTGTGTAGGTGACTGTGACACGAGTATGAGGAAGTGCAGATGTGGCCAAGACTGACAGGCACTAGTCACCTTGGTGGGAATGCTGCAGATTTAACACTCACTAGTGACCATCTTGATATAACTGCCAGTTACGGAACACCCAGCCCACATAGTGTGTGGCAGTCACAAAGCAGATCATGGATGGCCCAAATCAAGCCTCAAAAGGTTAGAAAAGGTTTCAACCCTTTGCATGCAGAGTATGTATTCTGATGACAGTGGAGTGAAGCTAGAAAGGAAGAACAGAAACAAACCTGGAAATCTCTCAAATATTTGGAAATTAAGCCAACACACTTCTACACTTCCCATGGACAAAGAAAATAAATCACTAGAAAATACTTTGAACTGAATAAAAATGAAGTAACAATATGTCAAAATTACGGGATGCAGCTAAAATATCTAGAGAAAAATTTGTAGCTTGAGAAGATGATTACTGGAAAGGTCTCATGTCAAGAGGAAGCCTGAGCAGAGGGCAGACTCAGGAGAGAGGTAGGAGGGACTAAGAGAGGTAGAAGGGACTTGCACAGTGTGTCAGGGAGGTGGCAGGGGCTTGAGCAGACGGTCAGGGAGTGGGAGGGACCTGAGCATGGGGTCAGGGAGGCGGGAGGGGTGTGACTCTCTGCTCATATCTTTTATTTTGATCATGCAGTTACCGTTTTGTCAGTGTAAGGCTTTTTATTCCCCATGGAAAACAGCAGGGAACCAAAAGCTGCATACTGACAAAGCTGTAGCTGTGTGATCAAAATAAAAGATAAATGATCAAAATGAGGTTATTACAAAAAAAAAAAAGCAAATCCCTATAGAAAACACAGCCACTAGTAAAGGAACATTATAAGCCAGTTTATGCCAATAAGCTCAATGACTTACATGAATAAATTCCTTGAAAGATGCAAGCTACAAAGTAACTCAGAAGGAATCTGCATAGCCCTGTGTCTACAGAACCTTGAGTTAATAATTCAAAACTACCACTGGAGCACTCTATCAAATATCAGAATACCAACTTCACCCAAACTCCAGAACATGAAAGAGGGGGCACATACCTCCAATCACTTTGAGGTCAGCATTAACTCGAAACCAAAGCCATACAAAAACACTTTCCTCAACTTCAGACTGATGTCCTTTTTTGAGCACAGGTGCAAAAATCTCTAACAGATGATTAGCAAACAGGACCCAGCATATATTACAAAACCAGGTCACTAGACTAAGTGGGTTTATCCCAGGCATACAAGTTGGTTTAATACTTGGAAGCCAATCTCTGTAATTTACCATGTTATCACAATAAAGGAGAAAAGATACAGAAAGGGAA